GCCTGTGAACGGCATCCGTGGCATTTGGGGAGATTGGGCGGAATGCTCTTCAGGGTTTTCTGTGGCCTTGGTTTTCTTCTGTGCGGTTGTGGCCGAGGGGGGCCCCTGCGGGGTGCCCAGTGGCAATGGGGAATGATTTTGCAACGGGCTTTGGCGCCTCGGGCTGGACAACCCCGTCGGTGCTGGCCGTTTGTCGGCCGGTGTGCCGCCGGGAGGGGAAGGGGTTTGTGCGTGGGGGCCTGGGGAAGATTTGGCACGCACATCCCCGGTTGGACGGCGGACGCGGAAGCGCCCCGAGGCCACGGAAGGCGCCTGGGTACCGCCTGCCGGGAGCGGCATGGGCGTGGGGGGCGCGGCGAAGCGTCCGATGTCATTTGCGCGACCGATCATCGTTTGGGAGGGTGGGGGGGGAGAAAGGGGAATCTGCAGAGCGGTTTGCGGACGCTGCCGGCCGCGCTGCAGCGGCGCGCGGGAGAACTGGTACGACAGCGTAGAGTTGGAAGGGCGTAGGATTGGAGACACGGCGGCCCCTGCACCAAACCTACCCCGTCAACCTGCAGCCTGGGTACTGGCCTGTTGTGGGCACCAGCGCTGGGCACAGCCCATGTTGAAGTCCGCGGGCGGAACGCAGACGCTTTCATGGTGCTGCAGCGCGCGGCTGTTGCGTGTGATTGTCTGATTGTGCCATTGAGAGTGGCGGCTCCCACCCGCCATCGCTGTCGACCCCGCCCTTGCCGAATGGGGGGGCGCGGCGGAAAGGGGGTGAGGATTTGCGTCGTTCACGCTGGCAGTTCCCTGGTTGCTGCAATTGGCACAAAGGTTGACGGAACGCTGCCCTTGAACAGCTAAGAGATGCCAAGCACTGAATGACTGATAAGGGGTGCGTTCATGCTGTGCTGTTCAAGATTATGGCGCGCTGACTGTGGCCTTGGCTGCTAGGACACCTGCTTGTCTCAGTGTATGTGGGTGGGTCAGGAGGGCTTTAGCTGACACGATTATCCACGTTGACAATCCTATCATTGCTACAATGGGACGAAAGACCACTTGGGTTATCAATGTAGGAGGGCTGAGCGTTGTTGACACTGGAGGAGAAGGGGATTGATAGTGGTGTATGAGTGACATTGTGCTGCCGGACTTGTTGATGCAGGTGCCCCCGCGAAAGCCCAGCAGGGGACAGTGCAGCATAGGTTCGCCACATGCCTAGCAAGCCTACCCAGGTCTCTGCAGCCATAATGCGTGTTGGAATCTGGCTCCTGGGATGCCTGGCATTATCCCAATTGAGGTGCGTTGTTGGATGTATGGATGCCTTGAACATCGACAGAAGTGTCTGGATGCGCTGAACACCAACTGAAATGAGAATTCAGCACAGGGCACAGTGTAAAAGTGCAAGCAGGGCATCGCGCTGTTGATGGGCATAGTTGATGGCATCTTCCACTGAGTGGCGTTTTGTGTGGACTGCAGCAGCCTGACTCTGGGCGTGGAGTCAAGACGAGTGTCTGATGTGTGGGAAGTGGAGCTGAACGACCAGTCGTATGGTGCGCAGTTCACCTCAGCAATTGTAAACATATGATTGTCTAAGCAGAAAAAACTCAGTATTGTGGAGGATGCCCTCTTGTGTATATTGGGTGCATGACTCAGTACTCTGTGTTTTGACCTTGCAACCATTGTGCAAGGCCGAAGTACAGAGTGCTTGACAAGGAACCCGCTCAGCCAAGAACAGTGTAGTGGTTGCATCATGTCAACATCGCTGTTGTCAAAATGTGGCAGAGCACTGGCCTTTGGCCTAAAAGGTTGTGGGAATTTTTGTCTGTCGCAAGCCAATTTGCTACTCACGATTTAAATTACAGTGTGGCCGCATTGCCCTGAGGGCCTTTAATGTGGCAACGGCTCAAGGAACACGAGTTGTGTGGTCGATGCCTGGGACACCAGTCAATGAACGAGTCAATGAATCAATCCACAGCGCAGCGATCCTTGCATCAAGCTGTTGGGGAATTGGCCACTCGTTTCCATTGATGGTTCAACTTTTGCAGCCTGGGCTTGTGAATAATGGGTGCCGCATTCCCGATTACATCCAAGTTGTGCATATTTCACTGTGTGAACCAGTGCTTCTGTATTGGCACTGTGTATACCAATATCCAAAGGGCTGTGTGTGTTTACATGCCATCCTTACAACCCTTTGTTTCCATACGACTTACACTAAACACTATTGCCTAAACAAGCGCTGAAATCCTAAACAAGAACGTGTTGTTCAAGAAACGGGCTGTGAATGCTCCATAAAGGGTTGCCAGTACGAGTGCAGGGATGGGCTGCAAAGACACAGAATGGGCTGCCAAAGCACATTGCTCATATTCCAAATAGGTGGCTGTGCTTAGTTGGATGGCGTGTCTGATTGTTTGGACATGTTCTTCTGCAGGAGACAACCCCAACGCGCGGAAGATCCTCCAGTCGAAACAGGACGAGGTGAGGATGGGGTTCTGCATGCACCATTGGCTATTGAATGACACATTGCACCTAATTGATTGTTTCACCAGTAAATGGTGGCAACAACTTCCATTGCTGCAGGCTTTGCCAGTGTAGTTGGGCAACTGATCACTCTCAGTCCAGATTTTTCTGTTGGCATGTGAAGTTGCTTGTTTCAAGCATGCATCCCCAAAAAGAAAGGAACGTAGACGAACTGAAACGACAACAAGAATATCTGCAAATGCTGCATGGTAGATGGATGCTGCGTGCCAGTGGCTTCGCCATAATATGCGACTCATTGCACAGTTGCTCCCCGTTTTGTGCAGAAAAATACGACAGCCTGCATTCTATCATATTGAAGTTTTCTGCCCCCTTACCGGAGCTCGGCAGTCTCATTCCTTTCGAAATGCCATTTTGAACTGGGTTGTGCACATGTGCGCACACAGAGTTGGCTGCAGCATCAGTGTGTTTTCTTCGTTTTTCTGCACGTTATTCTTGGTTTCTGTGTGTACAACACTGGCCTCGTCCAGGCAGTGAGATTCCGAATTTAGACACTATTGGAGACTCAGCAGAGGGTGGGGGGACAGTGCTATTTGATGTTGCACCTCCATCTATTCTCATGGACAACGATGACACTGGATAGCCTTTCTGTCATTGTCTGTTCTTCTACAAGGCAGAGCCACAAACACGTTATCCTTCTGGTGTTTTAAATTGCGCCCATCATTGTCTGAAAAAGTGAAGGGCTGTGCTTGCCATTGGGGGACGAAATTCGTCAGAGAAACTGTCACGATGCTTTCACAGAATCTGTGGGATGCTGCCTCTTCGGGTGATGCTGATGCCACTAAGAAGGCTATCAAGAAGGGCGCGAATGTAGAGGTGATGCTGGGGCCACCAGGAATAACTCCACTCTTTGTGGCCTCTGAAATGGGCTACTCCGAAGTTGTGGACGTCCTCATCGAAGCGAGTACGAAAATCTGCACACGTGTTTTGATTCTGTGTGTGTGGTGTGATGCGTTGTGGTAGCTGACATCGACACACAACAGTGCTGCTGTTTGAATGCTTTCAGAGAACTGAAAACCAGTTGTGAGCTGGATCTTTGTACTCCGGCAAGACTGCTTGTGAGCTTTTGTACTTCGCGGTTCAAAAAGGAGCAACTGACTCCAGGACTGCAGCAAGGGGTGTTGGATTGAATGATTGGCTGCTGCGCTGTCTTGCTGATTGCAGAAAATCGGAACTGCATGAGCGGTGGAACGTACTCTGGTTGAGTTGGCTGCAGAACTGGACTTTGGTCAAACAATTGACTGAAAAATGCTTTCCTGGGGCCAAACAGGGGTTGGCCACTACCTGGTGCTCTCGATATGTCTATTGTCTTGACACACCAAATGTCACAATGTGAGGGCAAGCCACGCATAACATAATTGGCATCATCGCCACATCAGTCAATCAGGAAAATCACAAACACAAAAGCAGGTCATGGTGTCAAATGTGACGTGCATCAAACTGGATAATGCCGTATGTGGACGTTTATCGACCGTCAACTCGGAGTGGCTGATTGCGGTATCTGTTGCTTGCTTATTTGGCTGGCTGACTAGAATGTTTCACCTGCCCAGATGCCAACATCTCAACAATACGCGAGTTGGATGGCGCCACGCCCCTCTTCGTGGCATCCGAGTTTGGTCACTCCGACGTTGTAACCCTTCTGCTGGATGCTGGTGCCGATCCAGACCACGGCCGCTCCAGCGACGACACGCCGCCCCTTGTGGTGGCGCCCATCACTCTGGGCATCTCTAGCGAGGTCGTGGTCAGGACCCTGATCGAGGAGGGGGCCAACATAAGCCTGCCCAATGCAGATGGCTGGACAGGACTGTACGCATCAGCATACTGGGGCAACGTAGGCACTCTAAGGATCTTCCTGCAGGGTGGTGCGGACCCTAAGGTCCGGGACGCCAAGGGCAACCAGCCCAAGGACGTCATCTGCAGGTGGGGCTCTGGCAAAGGGAGGGCAGAAATTTTAGCAAAGCTGGGAAAGCATGGCCATAGAAAGATGTGTGATGAAATCCATTCCATGTTTGGATCGTGCTGAAACTTTGAAGATCATAAGTAGTTTTGAAGACGGGCTGTGTTCGGTAGTTACTATGTTTTGGTGCCATTTTTACCAACGATAATGCTGTTGATCGTTTTTTTTTAATGCCTAGTGAGTAGATGCTGTCCAGTTGTTGGCTTATTAGTTTGTATTGTGTATTTTGACTTTTGTTAATTCAGTCAGTGTTGCTTGTTTATCCGCTTTTACAATATTTAGTGTGCTGAAGAGTTATAACATATCCCGGCTATGCAGTTGGCATGAAAAAGTACTTTGAACCAAAGCACAATTTTGCGCCAGCTACATATTCACTGCCCATCTGCATTGAGTCCCGGGGATGCTGCCTTCCAACGAAACCTCTTTCACCTCCTTTGAGATGCATCCCATGGGCAACCACATCAACATGACAAACAAGACAGATCTGCAGGTCTCCAATTTGCAATGCATGACCGGCTTTCAGGTTCCCTGACCAAGCACCTATGCATATGTAGTTTTTGTTGTATGTGGTATATCATGCAAGATTTCTTTTGTGAAATGTTTTATGAGAAAGCGCACATGGCAGCAGAACTTGGCCCTACCAGCACATTCCATTTCTGCTTCCCTCAAGCCTTGTAATGGCACTGCCTGCAGGTGCACAACACATGACGAAAACTACCTTCAGTGTGGACATGGTGGTTGTGACAATCCGAGGGTGGTCGAAGACATAGGGAAGCTGCTGCTGGTCTTCAACGCCACTGCCAAAGTGGTGAGTGGTAGATGTTGTCCACATTCCACTATGTTGCGTCACACTGCGGTTTTGTACGTCAAGTATTTGTCAGAATGAGCGAGTACCCAGAGATGGAGCCAATTTATGGGATGGGTTCTAGAGGTGAAAGTTTTAACACAGAATTATTGTATAAATGTTGATATATTCATGCCATATTGTTAATTCAACTGTACTATGAATATTGATATATCGATATCGATTGTGACGCCTGACTATCGTTGCAGGAGGCAACTCCTGGAGTCAACGGAAACAGGAAGGGCAACAAGGCGAAATGTGACGCGGCGGGCGAAGAGACGCCCTTCGATTGCATCCTGGATACGAATCTGGGCAGAAGGTGACCTGCGGCCATCGGATTCTGTGGTGCTCGTTAAGATTGCAGGTCGATTTGCCTGTTCAGATGATCATAAAATACTCAAACAAGTACTGCGAGCGTGTTCTGATATGTGTGTGGAAGTTTGATGATGCTTATTTGACTCACCGATGCCCGCTCACTTGGAAGTCATCCAGTTCAATGGCGTGTTCGATTCTTGTTTCTATTCGTATTTCAGGGCTACTCACTGATTCCGCATATCTCATTTTCAGCATTTCGATCCTGGCGTATCTGGCAATTCAATGCTTTTTTCCTTCACCGTGGCTTTAATCAACGAAGCATCACGCAGGCGGAATTAAAGTCAGATCAAAATCTCGTTTCAAATCAAACCCTTCAAATCAAGTGCTGTCAGGCCAAGTGCGACTTTCGACGTGCCGCAGGTGACGCAGCTCTGGGGGATGGCCCAGCCGCGGCCAAAGCCGAATTTCTTCAGGGAATGTGGCAGCGATGCTTATTCATTCAACAAATGTTCAGTGTTGCATGATTCAACTCATTCTTCCATGGGCGGAGTGTAGGCGTAGTGTCGGCTCACGCCTGGGCATCAGGGTGCTGCCGGGTGTGCCTCGGCAATGCGGGAACCGTCTTTGGTTGGGAACGGGCCTCAGGGGACCCACATGCGATTCCAAATTTCGAAAGTTCGAAGTGGAGATTTGCATTGCGGTATCCATGGTTGTTGCACGCGGCACTTTCCTTGCACTAAGTCGGGCCCGTCCAATTCTGGGAACGGCGCCCCTTCATGCGGATCCCGGGAGCGGAATATCTTTCCAGTTTCTCCGGGGCGAATAAATGCCGGAATGCACCCCCTTGTTCCGGAACCGCAGCAGGTATGTGCGAAGGAGTTGAGAGGATTTGTGCGATGGGGCGCTCTTTTGGCTGGCGGGCTGCAGCGACTGCTTCCAGTGCTTAGGGGCTTGTAGAGCTTTCGGGGGTGGAAGGGTGTGAATTGATGACATTAATGCCACTAGTGTATTAGTTTAAGGTCGTTAATGTCATGAGACGAGCTATGGGTTCTGCATCTCCTCTGTTGGCGGCAGGGTTGCATCGCACTGATCGCCTGAGCTGGATCACATGACCTGCCTGGTGTGATCACGCAGCCCTTCATCGGCGAGAATGGATTTTTTCATTTCAGAAATGAAACGGCTTCGGTTCTTCTGCAAGATAGACACTGCGGAGGAAGTCCTGCGTGCCTGTGTCGTGAATGGAATGCGAAGCATGACTGTGGAACAAGCCGCACAACATGAAGGATTTCGATTGCATTCGTTTACGATGGCCTCACGTCAGATCGTCAGCGCATCGCAAGCCGCAGCCTGCCTCATCGCACACCCTCCTGGTCCCGGTAGAGGTTTCCTGCAACTTGTGCCAGGAGCATCGCTCTGGCAGTCGAATTATATCTCTGTCACCGGCGCAGTCGCAGCAAAACCAGGAGCATGCGCCATTGCAGGCCAGATCCGTGCGAGACCAACATGCATAGCACATTGTGTTGTCGAGAAACAGCAGCACTGTCAAGCAAAGATCGCCAATGCCGAGGGAAGCTGGCATCCACTGCAGCGCCGTTGCACCCCACGAAACTGTGTTTATCCGGATCATGAACTCAGCCTTTCACGGCCTCTGCACAATCTCTGCCGCTTCAGTTCATTCCTGGATCCCCAGTCGCTGTGTGGAGCCGGTGTGTCTTCTGGATGCGAGCTCGCCACCGTGGGAAACACACTGCTTTGTGCGGAGTAAGCAGCTTTGGGTCACAGCCAAAGCCCTGTTTTGCACGCGGAAAAAGAAATTCGAATTGAGGATGAATGTGAATGCACATTAATTTGCGAAGGTGTGCACCTTTGCAAATGAACGTGCATTCACATTTATGCATCCTTGACAGTGTGAACCGGTGCACAGCGAGCAAAGCAAGGTCACAATCTCACGGCAGGTCATCCACAGATGCACAGTGATTCTGTCCACCCTTTACACGTAATGTCATACCCCTCCACAAGTTTGCACAGAATGTCTCATCACGCCATCAAACCGCACAGAGCATCTGAGCACGTCATCCCAAAAGGATGCGCACAAATGCGGACTACAACATGCACATTTTCACACCAAAATTTCGGATCTGATCTCGTGGTTTGAAACAAAAAGTGCGCCTGTCTCAGCACTTAACTTGCAGCGAGGTGTTACCAGCGAGGTATGAAGTGCCGCGCGTGCCTTCCGCAAGCGCCAAGCCGCCCCCCCCCCTCCCCCGAGCTTCCGCGGAACCCAGCGGCCAACGGCTCCGACGAGCCCTTGCACATCGGACGCCAGCCGGCAGCACACTGTACCACAACCCCCAACCGCCACCAACCGCAGCCTACCACATAATCCCCTTCCGAGCCTGTACATCGTACTACACCCGCTCGGGTGTGATGCCTCGAACCCAGCTGGAAATTGGGTGATTCCCGTCCGCAGTACTTTACCACCAGGCCGGCCTGCAACACTTCGTCTCACGCCAGGTCGCCCCTCGCGGAGGCGCCACTCTCCTCTGGAGGTCGCCCCACACTCCTTCGCCAACTCTTCGGGAGCCTCCGCACCTCGCCAAGCCACCCCTGCGGCTGCCATTTACCTTCAAAATTTCCCTACATCGCCAGGGCAGCTGGTGCGGAACCCGGGTGAGTCGAATTCTTTACGTTTTCCTTTCCCTGCGGGATCGCCGATCGCGTTTCTGGCCGCGCTGCCCGCCCGGGCGCACCTGGCGGGCCAGTCGGGTGGGCTGGTTGAGATGCCTCTGGCGATCGCTGGCGAGGGGTTAGGGCCGGTTTTGCAGCGTGCCCATTGATCTCCGGTCGAGCCCTCCGCAAGGGATGGAATGGGCAAGCCGCGTGAGCCACCGGGGTTTGTGGGATCCGCACCCGGTGGCGAGGCTGATAGCGCCCGCTGGCATTTCAATCGTGGGTCGCACTCTCGGCAATTGAATCCAGCCGCGTTTGATGCCATTGGAGTGACACGAACGGGCAATATCACCCGGGCGGAGGACGGCATCCGTGCACGCTTTTGCGCACTTTGCCCTGCGGGCACTCCCATGGAAGGACTCCCCGTGTCGGCCGAAAATCCGTAGAAGAGTTTGCGTTGGTGAAGCGAGGCGGATGGTGTGGATTGGCTTCTCATGGGGGGTTTCTGCCCACCCGACAAACAGCATTGGAACAAGAAAAGGGCGTGCGGCGATTGGCTGTGTGGCAGGGAACGGCGCGCAGTTGGACTAAGCACACCCTCCGGGTCACAAGGGGAATCTATTTGGCCCGCCCGCCTGTCGATTGGGATTGTGTTGTCGCAACTGGGCAATGTACCGCGTATGCACAATGTGCCGGTCTCGTGTTCACCAGAAATCTTCTCGCAGACGAACACCTGCAGACGGTTCCGCGGGAGGGAGAAGCAGGCAGTAAAGGGAAGTGCCTGCTCTCTGCCAAGTTTCTTCTCTCATAGCCGATCGTTGCCCCATGCCAGGCACACCAGCAAACAGGTGGCCATCCAAGTCCCCAATTCCCCCGATCGCTGCTTCGGCTCCCGGGAATCTGCCAAGCAGGAAAGGAAGTGAGGAAAAGAAAAGTGGGCTGACTGGGCGGGACCATGGGGCTTCTGGACAGCCGCAAGTCGCCCTTTGCGTCTGCAGTTTTGAAGAGCAGTGGCAAGCATCGCAAATGGGTGGTGGGGACCATGCACGACGTCTTCGACCAGGTAAGGCTTTTGCCTCATATCTGGTTGAATTGCAGTGAAACTCACTTCCCTTCCTCACAGTCACACATGTCAGGATTGATTGACTGAATGTGTCCATAACAGAACATGAACAAGCTATCTGCTTCACACCTGGTTATATTGCATTAAAATAAGCTCCACCCACTTCCCTCCCTCACAATCATATTGCCAGGCCTGTATGGATGAGTGTGCCGATTACAGCAACATGGAAATGACTTCCACCTCACATGTAGTAAGACTGCAGTAAAAAAAATGATCAACTGGCTCCCCAGGTTCACAATCACAATGCCGAGAATGTGTAAATGAATGTGTCCATTACAGCAGCACGATAATGACTCATAACTTTTCCAGTGGTCCACAAGGACCTCAGAGAGCTTGGTACCCCCCTCCAACCCACCGGCCCACACTTTAGGCATCTGCCAAGAAACAGTTGTCGTCTTCTTAGGAGGTTTTGCCTGGTGCAGCTTGCATCAACAGGCATCTCGTTCCAAATTAATAACGGCTGCTATTGAACCTGTGCTTGATAGTGCCAGCCAAAGGAGACCAGGCACTGCCCTCGCACCTGCAGGGCATGGCGACCGCCTTACCCATCGGGAGGACAAGCACACAAAGTGTGGCTTTGTATCCATGGCAGCTCAAAGTGTGCACAAAACGCACTTCCCCAGCGTCTTAAACACCATGAAGACAACGTTTCATGGCTAGATGTGATTGTCTGGCTTCCAGTTCTGTTTCCATCGCTGTTTGAGTGGAGATAACACGCTGCCTTTGTAAACTCAGGGCTGTGGATGTCAAGACACACACAACATCATGTGACAATTTTGGGATTCTGGGTTTTGGGGATATTGGGACCTCAGATACATTCCTGCTGACGCTCCATTCTGACACTAAACAGCACATTCTGATGACTCCATTGCTCCCAGTCAGCAGCCACCTCTGTACAAGAATCTCTCTCTAAACGGACAGCTCTTTGTTTTGCTTCTGACCTACATCGCTGAATGGTGGCACAGGCTGTTAACATCATGTTTATGCTGCTGGTAGCGGAGTTGGGTTTAGCGAATGCTATGTTATTAAGGAGCTCAACATCAACAACATTATGTGACAGGAGCAATGGCAGTGCTCTGATTTATTGCAAATGAACAATGCAAATGCAGCATTCACAACTTCCACTCTCAGAGCATGCATTTATTCATACATTCACATGCGGACATGCAGCTTGGTCGCACAGGAGCTGGCAACTGGCCATTCGACTGTTGGCCATGCATGACACATGAACTGGGAGTGTTTTGAGAAGTGTAGAAGAATGGTTGTCACTGATGGTTTGTGCCCTTGGGGCCCAGGTGTGGCGCACCATGTTTCATGAGGATCGGCACCCCAAGGACGTAGAGATGTGCCACGATGGCAAGCCACTGCCATTCTCAGTGTATGCAACCTGCAGGCTGCTGGACGTTTCACCTGGGGCCCCAGTGAGTGATCAACCCACTTGAGTGCATCTGTCACGACAGGGCTAAGCGAATAGCAGGCATGTCAAATGACTGTCTTTGTTACGCACACAATGTTTGTTGGACAACTATTGCTCAATTCCTGGTGAGTGATGACATATGACTGCAGGGCAGCTTTCCAATCAATGCACGTGTAGTGTGGTGTTTGGTGGCATTCGTATCTACCACAGTCGTCCAAAGATGGGACAAGGTGTTCTTGTTGAGCGCCATAGGTGAAATCCGAAAAGGTGTTGGTCACTTAGGCTGCGTAAAACCAGGCACGCTGGGTCATACAAGAAATAGTTCAAAAGGTGCAGGTGGGCGAGGATGGTGGTTTCAGAGGACCCAATGCTGTACTCATGGAAGTTGGATAGATACAGAATAGCCCATTCCTTCAATTCCTCAGCATAAAAGCGAGGGCAGAAGATATTGACAGCAAGTACATGCTGTTCCTTGCCAACCCTTCCAACTCCATGCCATGCACGCTGGGTCATACAAGAAATAGTTCAAAAGGTGCAGGTGGGCGAGGATGGTGGTTTCAGAGGACCCAATGCTGTGCTCATGGAAGTTGGATACATACAGAATAGCCCATTCCTTCAATTCCTCAGCATAAAAGCGAGGGCAGAAGATATTGACAGCAAGTACATGCTGTTCCTTGCCAACCCTTCCAACTCCATGCCATGGTACAAAAGTGTGCACAACCGCCATGTCGTGGCAACAAAAGAGCCCTGAGTCCATGAATGTGCTGAGCAAAGTACATCAAGGAAGGACCCATAATGACATGCTTGGCACACTGAGCTGTGCCAAGTCCTCCAAACCATATTGTGCCACCAATCACATGATTCGAACTTGCAAGTGTGCTGTGTGTGCTTATCTGTCTTTCAATTTCATAGAGTCTGGTCGTGCATGATGCAGAGAAGCCGCATGTTTGAGGGCATCCGCACCATAGCCGCCCTGTACCTCCGAGCAGACGTCACAGCGATGTCAAATTGCATTGCAGCATTTGGATTGGACACTCTACTGTATTCCAAGGTGAGTCATCATCTGTCTGCACACAAATGCCACAATCACTCTTCCCGTGCAAACTGTTGCTGATTGGAGTGGACAAAAGCACTTCGCTAGTTGTGTCCCAGCCAGATGTCCAAGAGGGCCTGTTTTGTCTTGTTAAGTATGGTGCATATCCTGGTGGTTCAATGGCCACAGACTTATGGTCATCTTGCTACCTGCCCTTCTGGCTGTCCAGCAAGACCTCACAAGGGGTGCTTCACTTTGCTTCTCCAGAATGACGTGTAGAAGTGGGCGCCTCCCCACAAGTGAGATTGCAAGATTCCGGACGGAGTACTGTGGGATGTTGTGTAGGCCTCTGATTGCAACAGGGAAAGCGCTGTACTATGAGTACAGCAATAAAGGATGTTCCGGGGGGTAATGCTGCTGCATGTGTCCCAAGCTGCGCAATGTTACAACAGTGTGCCGCTGTTGTACCTACGTGCTTTTGAGACCTATGACTTGCATTGGTTTGAAGGGGATCTAAAGGCTGTTTTGAGCCACGAGACTGTGTGCTCAGTTGCTTGTGTGCATGCTGCTCAGCAGGGAGGGTTGTCAATTCGAGCACCGATTACTTTGCTGTAGATAAATTGTTCTCTTAAACTGTCAACACAAACATGCCCAACTTTAAAGCATTCGAACGTCTTGCTGAAGTTGAAGCTGTTGACAATATGCACGGCCTGTATTCCTAAAAGCACATGGCGAGGAGAGCCCTTTCACTACATCAGGCAAGGACACACTTGTGAAGCTATTGAAGTGCATCTGCTGTGCTGCAGCACAACATAGCACAGCTAAGATACAAGCATGCTTGCACAGACTGTGCTTCATGCCTTGACAATTCGCTGAGATGCATGCCAAAAAGGCAGCGTGCAGCTCTTAGAGTCATGAAATCGCCCTGCACCACCCAATATTTCTGATGTTTCAAATCTCAACAATGCTTTCATCATAGTCATATTCTGAAATCATAAGAAATGTAATGTATTGTGAATTGTATTAATTACTGTGGATGACGATTCCAAAAAATGGAGCAAACCAGAATATGGTCCAAGTGCACTACAACGTCTTATTTTGATGCATGCAGTCAAGATTTGACATGTCGATAGGATTCCAAGGGTAATTTGATCAAGACTTAAAGGGTCAACTCACAAGGCGTCCTGTGGGTCCAGGTTCCTGCTTACGCACTGTTCGCCAAGGCAGGATCCAGCCTCCAGTGCCGCTCACTGGCTTCCAAAGCGATGGTGAAGGACCTCATGGTCCTGTTCGAGGGTTTGCTGGTGGAGTACTTCAGTCAGGGCTGGGACAACATAGAGGTCATATTGAAGGCGAATGAGGCTGACCTGCAGCAGAGCGGGATGGTGTGCGTCTGGGAGCCGACGAAAGCCGCAGAGGTTGAGCCAGGGTGAGACAGTTGCTGTTTTTTCATCTGTTTTCTTAATCCCAAAGTACTATCCCTCTTTGAAGATCCGAGGTGCCAGCCGCATCCTAACAGAAGGTGTGTGTGCTTGTGCAACATCATGAGGAAGTGCAGCACGATGTACAGCCCCCCCAAATGTGGTTGGAAAGTCCATATGAATGCCTAGTTTCCAAGTAGAGAAGTTCTGTAACCTGCCCATATCCCCCAAAACACCAAGGGCAAGGAGGGCGGGGCAGTCCAGCGGATCAGCAGCCGTAGCGAATCCCAATGATTTGGTCATTCCAGCAAAGTAAATCGACGGCTGATGGCATGCATTGCTCAACGTTGCCCCGACAGGAATAAGAAGGGCTGCAGAAAGGGCGGTGATGCTCCGATGCTGTCTTCAAGGGAGAGAGCAAAGGCGAACTGGAGACGGGCCTACAAAGTTGCCTTGAAGCAGGTGACTCACTGAAACTCCTTACAGGAGGGCATGTGCATGTGAAAGAGAAATCTGCATTGATTGCAGTTGCAACTGCAGGACGAACTGCCACCCTTTGACTGAATTGTTGGTTTTGAATGCAGCTGGTAAGTTGGCGGAAGAAGCTCTGCTCCAAGCGTGTTTGCTTGCTCCTGCTTCTCTGTGCTTATGCAACATAGTTGGCCCAGTCCCCCACCCTTTGCATTCCCCAACCTTTGCATGCCCCACATCGTCATCCATGTAATCCACATTGCCTGTACATGTCCTCACCCCCCTTCCTGTGCTGTGCATATCCCCGTCCCTCAAAACATGTTGCTGAACCTGTGCCCATGCCACAGAAGATAACACCCCATTGAAACCTCGGGTTCATCGAGATTGAAATAATGGATTTGAAGCCCAAGCAGCTGAATGTGGAAGACTTGCCCAGGATAGCCAGCTGACTTCTTTCTGTACAGCAGCTCTGCCACTGTGCCCACCAAACATGCAGAAAAAAAAGCAAAGTAGGAGACATCAGGTACAACAAAAGTAATCAGCTCAATAGCAAGTTGGAATGGAGACTTGCTCAAGTTTTGATATGCTGAGATGGAGACAAACGGGCAAGAAGTGTCCAGCCGGCCACGCTGGTTGCAGGCCTGCACCAGGACAGAGCACCAGTGCAAATATGTACTGTGCAGATGGAAAAAACAAACATTGGTAAATACCACACCATGTATGTCAGTTGCACCCGCACCACACTGCGTTTCACCAACGTATTTATCAGCAGTGTGCACATCACTTGCATTTGTCATATGTTAGGTTGGGCACCCAGCGTGCGTTCAAGATGCGGCATGCTGATCTTTGCTCATGGGCTTCAGGTGACGCTCAACACACTTGGAGTCCAGAGGCGCTTCCTGACTATGCATCAGATGTTCCAAGAATTGCATGGCACCAAAGCTGACCCAGGCACTGAGTGAGTTGTCGCTTTAGGTATTGCTGTTGCTGTCCTTTCTCTTCCATTCAATGACGATGCATCACATTCACAACCCCTCCCCCCCGCACCCACCCACTGCAGTTCTTTTGCCACCTTACAGGACAATGCAGAGCGTTTCATGGCTCCAAAAGATGACCTTGAAAGGGGTAGGCGACAATTGAGTATTGCTGTTTTCAGAAAGGGTATATGCGGTAGGAATGTCCAACAGTGTGCAGCCCACCCTTCGTAGCTGCAGCCCTCTAACAACCCCCACCCATCCCAATCCCCCCTCCTCCAAGGGAAAGAAAATGCATGTCTTGTTGCCAGCGCAAGTTGCTCTGTGCTGGGTGCCTGCCTGATGAAGCAGAAGTCTCCAAGCACAGGTTCATCTTTTGCCACATAGAGGACAGCCACACAACATCTCTGCTGTGGAGCTGGCCAACGCTTGTCAGGTTTACTTCCTGTTCCAGAGAACAGCGCACAGGAAAGGGAGGGGCCTGGGTGGTGGCCGACAGCGAAGTCAGACAGCCATTTCTGTGTCACAGGGAGAAGCGACGGCAGCCCACGTTGCTGCTGCTGGGTGGCGGGATGGCAGCCGGCAAGAGTACCGTTCGGGAGATCATTGGGCATGACGACTTCTGGAGCAAGGTAAGGTTGCAGTTTATTTGACCGCAATCCTCTGAACTTGGCAAAGAACCCCCCTTAGACTGCGATTCCGTCTACAGTGCATTCTTGGGAAGCGTAGTCTCTGTGGGAGCAACTTGGGCTTGCCCATCAGGTTGATCACATTAGTCAGCAGGATGTCATACAGCAGGTGGTCACCATAATGCACCAATGGACATGGCAAAGCTGCAGTGGCAGCAGCCGTGAATGACTGACTGTGCCATCCTACAGATGCATGTCCCTCAAGGAACAGGTTTGGGAGGAGTGGGGCGATGAGCAGCATGGTGCTGGCTCAATGGCAGCTTTGTGTACTGAACAGACAGGGGGGCAACCATGTGGAACAGAATGGCAGTAGAGGATAAAGGCAAATAGTTCATGGGAAAGATTTGAAAATGGCAATGATCAAAGGCTATGGGGGACGAGCGGGCCAAAAAGGGCCTCTCTGTCAGAAGACCAATTGGCAATGCAGTTTGCCTACTTTGGCGCAGCCAGTGCAGGATTAGCGTCCACCATGAAAGTGATTGATTTCAATTCTAGTTGCAGCAACAGCATTGTTTCACCTAAGAAACTGTTAAATGTACCAATAGTTCTTGACTTGAAGGGATGTATCAGGTTACCACTTAGTTATGAATTGGAAGATGGTGCAGAGAACTGTGCATGCGTTCCCTGGCCCCTTCAGAGCTGGAGCTTGTGCCACTGTGAAACAGGGCACCACTTTCACCCCACCACCAGCATTATTTCCTGACAGCAAACAATCTGCCAAACCTAACTTCTGGTGCAAAAGTCCAAAATATCTAATTTGCTAACTTCCAGCTACATAACTTAATGTGCAGAACGTCACAAGAACTTAGGTCTGTTCCCTGGTGTCCTGCTCACCTTTGCATAAATTCGTATCCCGACAGGTCGGTCCCAGCGCTGTGGTGGTGGAGGCAGACGCCATCAAGAACCAGGACGTGGTGTTCCAGGCACTGTCAGAGAGGCTGGGCGGCGATCCAGCCATCAGCCAGCTGGTGCACGAGTATTCCACAAGCAACGCCGAAGGCATGCTGGTGGCAGCGGTGAATGGTCAGAAGGACATCGTCTTTGATGGCACCATGACGTGGCTGCCCTTCGTGCAGCAGACGATCGCCATGGTCAGGGACCACGAGCACCAGTACACCAGGTGCAGCATGGAGCGTGCCCCACGACTTAGATGGCGATTGGGCCATTCTGTTGAATGCATGCAATTCTGATGGATTTCTGTCGATGATCGCCATGACTGTGTGGTGGCAGTGCTTTGCATTTTCCAGCCGATGTGTGCTGTGGATTGGCACCCTGTGCATGCCCTTGATCGCCTTACATTTTGTGTTCGTTTGCATCGGTGGATATCGGCGATTCGTGCCCAGATGCTGATACTGTCATCCTATGAGGCGAAGACACACGGTGTGCGTGCACATTGGGTATACTGTCCCAGAACGCTCACACAAACCCTAAAGAACTGCAGAAGAGTCCAGAAAGCTCTGGCCCTGTTGCTGCCAGGGCATTGTTCATCCGTGTTTCCTCCATACTTGACACCATAGGCAGGGGATTTGTGCACGTACAAGCGCATTTTCTGGCATGTGGCTCCTATACCATCGCAAGGTGGAGATCGACTGGTGCATGTTTGTCAGGAGAGAATGTTGCACTGCATGGCCATGTTAGGATGTTTTCAACTACACATGGCACTAGCAATCAAAGGACCAAGTAAACGTTTTGGTGAACACATATGAAATGCATTTCACCAATGTTCTGCACGCTAAGAACACAAAAACAACCCAAACCCATAAGCCTTGCACACGTTTGAACACGTGATATTTGGCCCTTTTCTCCTGGTATGGCTGACACACATGCACAGAATGTCAGATTGGCCTTGCTGTAGGATTGAGGGAGTCGAGAACTGATCATGTGATTCGTTTCGAGGGACATCACTTTTCATCATGTGCAAGCGTGTGTACCAATGTGTTCACTGAGTGAACTTCACTCCATTTCATTCCATCTCATCTGAGAAAGCGCGTGTCCACACTCAGAGCATGATCAACTTCTGGTCAGAAGGGACATGGCTTCCTTGTGAGTAGGATGTGCCTGTGAGACTACTCAGTATTGCTGAAAGGATGCAGGACTATCCACACACGATGTGGGGGATTTGGCGTTGTTGTCAGCTGCCAAAGTGTTTGGAGCATTGTATGTCAGGCCTGTGCAGTTGGTCACTGTGCCCACAGCCGCAATCTCGCTGGCCTGAACGGAACCTTGTGATCCATCCACCCTGGATCTTTGTTTCTTTCAGATTTTCCTGTCTGAACTCTGATTGCTCAGACTGTGTCGGATTGCAAACCAGGCATGATAAAAATGTCTCGGCTTCATGACATGGGAGATCCAAAAGGTCTCAATGTGCAGCCCGGGCTGTCTGTCTCCTTGAGTTTTGGTGCTGTGGAAGGCAGAACAGAAGATGCCCATAGCTCAAAAGTTACTGGCTGGTAACGATAGCCTATGTCTCAAAGGAACCAACGAAAGCCCGCCAGAACGGCAGGTGTGCGGGAGAGTAGATTAGCAGTTGCTTTGTCGGCCCCAGTTTTTTTCTCCCAAGTGTTTTAGGTGGCCCGGGGCGCTGTGAGATGTCTTAATGTATGTGTGTGAATGATTGGACGTGTTTTACACCAAGGGAGGCACTCATCAGAAGAGTGGCGGGCAGAATACATAAACAGAAATGTACAGATGTTGAACACATTAATGTGCGGGAAAAGAAGTAGTGCATGACAGTACAGAAGGAAAAACTTGCCACACAGCTGGCTACCAGTTTCTGATCAAGGTGTTTTGGGGTCCCAGGGGTGCTGGATGGTATCAGGACGCCGATGGAAACTTCTGTGAGGAGTATTGGAAGGTGTGCGAAGGTGCCCCAGTGGATCCCAAGGACAGGCTGCCTTACAGAATCGAGCTGGTCGGAGTCACGTGCGACCCAGGTGAGTGGCGCTTTTGTGCAGAGCTTACGCTCTCGAGGGTTGTGTAAGGTGTGCGGCAGGTTGACAGCGATGTTGTGGGAGCGCTGTCGATGTTGTGCTGATGCCAGATGGCCATGCCTGTGGCACATCACACTTAATGTTAATGTGATGAATTCTTTTAGCACGTTGTCCAGGAAATGGGAACGAATGTATGTGTCCTGACAGGCAGCATGAAAAACGGCACACTTGTCATGTGGGATGTCTCTACCAGGATCGGATTATCTGGCAGCATCGGTTTTGCCACATGTATGCACATCCAAAGCTCGTTCATGTCTGCACTCGCCGCTCACCAGCAGGACAACAGCGTGAACAGTCCCATCATTATTGGATGTTCAGGATTGCAGGCTTTTTCTTTTCTTTTTGTCCTCTTTCCTTTCTTTTGTTTATGCTGGGCTGGTGGACAACGTTTGGGTTGATGTGCTTGCAGCGCTGGCCGTGGGGCGAGGGATCTGGCGCAAGCTGCGGACGGGGAGGGGGGTGCCTGTCAGCAGCCAGCTGCGGTCCCACAGGTGCGACCACGCCACGCCCATTCCTTGCACTGGTCATTGCATGGCCTGAAATACATCATGTTTAGTCTGATTGGAATCTAGTGACAGCATAGTTGAATGGAAATCGCGTCCCTTCGTGGCAGTGGGTCTTCTTGCTTGCAAGCTCGTGCACACAATCTAGCCTGCCTCCTCCCGCCCCCGGGCATTTTGCTGTCTCTTTGAATCCAGAAGCACATCTCCATGCCATGGCGAATCCCATTGATCGCATACTTGGGGACACGGCATATTCGTGTCGTGGTAATACGAATTCGTGTACCAGTACCGTATGTGGAGTATGTGTGCGAAGTGTATGGTTTTTCTACCCAAGCCTTGGAATGTGCCGGAGGGGCTTTTGGTGACTGACCACGTTGTTTGCCCAGGCTGTTCGCGCAGAATTTTGAGACCATGGCAGACCTGGTGGACACGGCGACGCTGTACCACACGGGCAGCAAACTGACGACGTTCACCGGCAACCGGGTGGAGCCCAAGGTGGGATGCAGGAACGGGGCGCGCGCCATCGCTCACTCTCCCAGAAACAAATGCGGCTCAAGAATTTACATGTTTCAAGTTGAGAGTTCGCCCTTGATTCCTTTGGAGTGCATTGTTTGGCAATTAGAGAGCACCAAAGTTGAAATTTGGTGGGTTTGATTCAAGACCATGTACTACGCAACAATGCAGCCTCAGGGAGCAGTGCGTCTCAAGCAAGTCGAAGCTTGTGACAAGCCGCACCGCTGTAGCCCTTTTGTGCGCAATGGGTGCAACTGAAGCACTAAAACAGAAACAGCAAACACCAACAACCAATGAATATTGCAAAACATTACCCCACAAGAAAATAGAAAAAAAAAACTGAGTCAACGCAGGACAATGATAAAAGAACATATACCGCAGTATGCGAAATGAACGTGTACTAAGTGCGAAAGTGCGAAAAACATTGAAACAGCATATGTGCACGGAATATGCACACGGAATCATTCAAGCTACTGCTTTGAGCGGCCTCTATTTTACGGGAAGCCACGCCTCTTTGAATGTTGGTTGGCTCCTGTGCTGTGCTGATGGGCCCCCTGTCCCAGGTGATCGCGCACAAGAGCGCTGCGACGCGGGGCGAGATGCTGGTGAACCCCACGGCCTGGGAGCAGTTCCTGGGCCTCAAGAACATCAACGATGACGCCACGTCCGTGCCCAACCTCCTCAAGGCGCGAAAGTCGTCGTCCAGCTTCGGCAGCAGGTGCGCTCGCATCCCCGCTCGCCGGCGTCGCTGCACGGAAGCTGACCAGGGGCGTGGCCCAACGGGACGCCCATTTTCTGGGGCATCGCCCCAGGCGTGCTTTGTTGGGCGCGTAGCGTGACAACTTGCATCGTGCACATACGTGCTGGGCACATGTGGATGAGTAATAGTAAATTTGTGTCAGGAGCCCCACAAATGCCGTATATACTTCATTTGTTGGGCTCATGGCACAAATTTATTCTGTCTTAGGCAGTGCTGTGTTGCATTGCATTGTACGGTACTGCATCGTGCAGCGTGTGCTGTATGTACTCATCGAGTGCCTTCGCACTGATGGTCTGTAAATGATGCACGCAACCGCTTTCTTTTCTGTGACATACTTTGGCCAGCGACCCATTGCAATCAGCAGGATCTGCCTGCCATTACCGCCCACCCCGCAAGACCTTGCAACAGCCTGTCATGGCCTTCCAAGCTCGCGGGGCGCTGAATAGGCAGGCGAAGCGGGGAGCTCAAAGCACTGGAAAGGATGCGAATTTCCTCCCCCAAGGCCCAAGGAACGCCACATAAAATCGCTAGCGGCGGCCCTCGTGGGCCGTCGCTGCCTGCAGTGCAATCACCAGCAATCATTCAACGCCATTTAACCGTCTAGCAAACACCTAACTAGCTAGCCATCCAACAATCCAAAACACGCCCTCCGACCGCGCGATCAGGACTGCGCAATGCAGTGGCGCTCCAACGCATGCCACACCACCGGCACAAAATCTTGAGCAACGCTAACAACATTCCTGTGGGCTTGAACAGTGCAACGCTATGCTGTTCAAAATCTGAACGTCCGTGTTGTAAACTTCGAACGCTGACCGAAGTGTGCAGAATGGGCACTCTTGCTGTCAGGGTGAGAATGCTCAGCATGCCCAGAAATGTGCCAATGGGCAATGTACATCGGTGGCAATGGAAACGAGTGCCCAGTGTGTGTCCCCAAACAGGCGGTGCGCGTCGCAAGGCAGCCCAAACCCGCGCCGCCGTTGGTATTCCATGCCGTGGCAGCGCCAATGAGCGTCTTGTGGTGGGTCGTAGGCCAAAACAGGCGCAGCTGAAATGAACTCCAACTAAGTCCAACTAATTCCAATTAATTTAGATTAGTTCCTGTTATTTACACTTAATTGTTGCCGACAGCATACTGGCCAAACGCGGGGCTGCTTGTGCTTTTCAGTGCTGGCTCCCAGCGCACACCTGCATTCAAGGTCGTTGGCTGTCACGTGCTGCGAAGTGCAACTGCAGCTGGTCAAGGCTAGGGACTCACACGGGTGCTGCAGCAGTAACAAATGGCTTGCACATGGCGTCAATAACGGTGCTATCCACACAATAATTGTGATTGCACGTGGTTGTTTTGCGCTTACTCAATGGTATTGTTCCCAAAAATGATGTAATTACATCCACAATTGCAATTATGTGGGTTGCCTTTGGCCATCCTCAAATTGCACAATATGGCGACTTTCCATTGAAAAAGAAATGATAATGGTATCCTTTTACGGTGAAAAACTTGATGGAAATGAATGCGCCAATGCATGTGGCCACTAATCTGCGTGGCCCAATGTTCAACGGAAAGGGGGGCGCAACACCATAGCTCAGGCCTTGGAGCATTCTCCCGCGTTTGCCACAGTGCAAAGCGAATGTGGCAGTCACATGTCTGAGAAATGCATATCATATTTTGTAGTACGAATTTAATTTCAGTGATACATTCAATCATATGAACTTGACTTCTTTCCTCTCCGTATGTCTGCCCGTTGTCTTTCAGGGGCCAAGTCGGGAGGACTTTCACCAAGCAGCTGATCCACATCGAGTCCGGCAAAGACGTTCGGAAGGCCCTCCAGCAGGCATCGAGGTCGGAGTCGGACATCAGCTTGAGCGAAAAATTCGATTGCGGGAAGGCGTGACGCTCGCGAAACCAGGGGCGTTACAGCTCTCAAACGCTGAACTGGGTCTTGGGCGAGCGCTGAGTCGACAGTGCACTTGGCTGGGCAGGGTGCCCGATGCCATCTTTCGAGTCGTGACTTGATGCTCCACGGCTTGGCACCGCGCCGCACCGCAGGCAACTGGGATTGTTTCACGGCTGGAGATGCGGATTTAAGATTGGAGATGGGCCGAAACTCAGATTTTGGAGTAGGCGCTCTCGCGGCGGCCCCAAGGCGGATTTGAGGTTGGAGATGGGCCGAAACTCGGATTTTGGAGTAGGCGCTCTCGCGGCGGCCCCAAGGCGCCCATGACCTCTTGCTTGGGAATTGTAGTGGCCAGTGTAGTACAGTGGCTTGGCAGCAGGGGGTGGGCGCAGGACCACGATGATGTGTTACGCGACAGCTCGCTTTTTCTTTCAAAAACTTTGGTGGCTGCCAGCCGCCTCTGGCTCTTTTGTCCTTCTCCAGGTGTGCGCAACCCCAAGTCAGGAGTCGCATTAAGAAATCCGGGATTTGAACTGGGCTGCAAGGCGCTCGGATGATGGTCCATCAATGACGGTGGCCTCAGTTTGACACCTGGGTGACTCTGAGGTTGGGCCCTTACGCCGTTGGCGCATTCCCTTGATTTTTTCCTTGAATTTTTGAATCCTCTTTCCTCATGGCGTGTGGATGGATTCATGTCCAAGCGTTCGCTTGTGTGGGTCGACGTGTCGACGGGGAGGGCTTCTTTTGGGACCATCCAGAACATTACGTCACATTTCAGTGGGAGGGCCCGTGGGTGTGCTTGGGAAGCGGGGGACCTGGCTTCGGCCCCCATGACCTTGTAAGCACTGGGGCAGATCTTTGTCGCCCTCATGCAGAATGTGGGCAGAATCGAACTGGCCGCGTCCTGAGGTTTGTCAGCTGCTTCCTAGTGATTCTTTGATGGAAATTGCCTTATGGGAAGAGAGAGGATGTGCCATACAATCACCACCACCACCCTTTCAATTTTTTTTGTAATTTTTGAAGTGATTTCTGAAGTCTGAAGGTTTGGCAGTTTTGCCCAGTGCCAGTCGAGTGCCCGCGGAGGCAAAGCGCTGAGATAAATCGCCCGCGTGGGCGCTGCTTCCCTGCCGACAGGTATGGCCAACGTATCTGTTGACCGCCTCCACTCGGTTTACATAACCAAACTGGATAGAGTTCGCCGCTGACGCAACCGCGTCACCCCTTTCCGCCGCTTAGCTAACTCCCCGGCCGGCTCTGAGCCGGCTCTGGCCTAGGGCCTCTCTGGGAACAGTGGTGTGAGGCTCAGCACATTACAGTACTTGCCTGTACCCTTTTGTTGAAAGGTTGTCCTCAGACGACGCCTTCCGGTGCCTCCAGAAGGCGCGACCGACCGACGCTCCTCTTGGGGTTCGGGGCACCGTGAGTGTCCACGCCAACACGTTGGGTTGCTGACCGTGGTAAATACATTTCCATGCGCAGCTGCACCTGCACACAAGCGAGCACGCGTATATGTACATGTGTTTGCGCATTTCTTTCCATGCATATGCGGACATTTCCGTGCGTTTCTTCCATACTGACTGTTGAGATGTACGACCGTGATGCCGACCGCCAATCGGAGGGAGGTCAATCAGATCCAGCGACGTCCACCGCCGCCGCCACCCGCCTCCTCTTCCCCCAGATGGGTGTCCTCCCCCGATGCATGGCCTTCCCGGACAGCGCTTCAAGGAAGAGAGTGGGGCGAAGTGCTACAAAGTACTAATCATTGCCTAGATATTTCCTATTTTCTATATTTCCTAGGAAATATTTCCCCATATTTCCTGTATTCCATTGGTGTTCGCAGTGGTTTGCCGTGGCAACCCTGCTTCACACCCGTCGACCGACCGGCTGTGCCCCCTCTGCCTGGCCGGACTGTCGCCGTCTCCGAAACCTAGCAGTACTTTGGGCTTTTGACTTGTCAACGCGACACGCTAGGCTCGCCCGCCCTGGCCTGCATCTTGAACCTGGCAACCGCACACAATTCGGTGACAGTGTGCGTTGACACTATCTTCCTTTTGCCGTTGGTACGGCCTCCAGGGTGGCTGGTCTTCACAGACCGTAAAGACTAGCCTCCCTGGAGACCCCGCCACGCTGAAAATCACTAGCAACAAGCAACATTGTTTGCGATGCCAACTGTGATGCGATTTTGACACCAAGTGGTGCCGTGATGGTGATTGAGATGGCATAAAGCCGGCTGCTGTGGCATCAATAAGTGTCCATAACATCACAGTTGGCATTGCAAACAATGTCGCTTTCTGATGGTGCCACTGCTGCAGCAGCCAGCCCCTTGCCCAGGACGCCGTCAGTTCAGCAAGGGTACCGCGGCACTGACTGGCCGCGCCCCCCACGCTCTCGCTCGGCCCAACGCGACCGGCGCACCCCTGCTGGCAAGGGAGGGTGTTGCGGATACAGACCGTGAGTGCGGAGGAGACGGAGGCCCAGCACATACACACCCTAATTAGTTTGTGTCCATGCCATGTGTTATGTATGTGGTGTTTGAGCCAGGATTGGGGTTTGGCGCTTCAGAGTTTGTAAACCCTGACACCCCACCCCCCAGTCCTGACTCGTCTCCGTCTCCGCACCGGGAAACCCTGACCCCCCCAAAACGCTCAACCGTTGCCTGTCCCTGTCTCCATGTCTCCGTGGTCTCGGTCTGCATCCGCGACTGACCGCGGCAAGTGAACACTTCCGGTCGCCCCTCCGGCCGCGCTTCCCTCCCGCTTCCCGCTTCAACCATTTTCCGCCCCAACCCCCTGACGGACGGTCCGTCACCAGCGCCCCCCTTCCGCCCACGCAATACTGCACACGGCACCCGTAAGCCCGGAAGCCACCAGGCCAGAGGGCGCCTCAGCGGAAAAGTCCCCTGAGCTTCACCCGGAGTCACCCGGAAGTCCAACCGAGGGCGTCGCTCCAAGGGCCCGCGCTCTCTCCCCCCTTGGAAACGAGCCCACAGCCTCGGGCGGCCGGCCTTCAACGTACAGGCGCCAACCTCTCGACCGCTTCCCCGCGAGAAGTGAGATTGACCCTCGCCGCAGCGCGGCGGTTACGCACGGAAATCTCGCGCAGCTTTTGCGCCTGGGCGGCACGGCAGGCGGAGGTGAGGGGATGATGGCGATTTGGACGGCGGTTGTTGTCCGCGGGGAGCAGATTGCTTCGCCGCGAGGGTGACAAGGAACCCGCCTGGCCGCAGCGCGGAGGTAACGCGTGCGGATCTCGCTGGAGCTTTGCGCGTCGGCGCGACGCGCGGGCAGAGGCAAGGCGGTAATGGCGATATGCGCGACGATTGCTTTCGGTGGGGAGCGGATGGCGCCGCAAAAAGAGCGCCGATGACCTCATTTTCGTGGCTGGATCGACTGCCATGGGCTGCCGCGAAAGGGGAGGGGGTGTGTGCTCGAGGGGACCGGACGGGGGGCCTCAACTTGATGTCACGTCAAGGCGTTCGAGGCCAAACCGCGGTTCGCGTGAAGAGAGTGAGGCGCGTCCGTGCTGCCGTGAGGGGTTGGAGGGATTGGAGCCGGGAGGGTGGCGGTGACCGTCGCTGACTCCCGTGCTGACTATCGCGGCGCAGCTCGGCGGCCTGTCGGCATGGGCGGCGCGGCGCTGGCCGCGGCCGTGCTCCTGGTGCTGGCGGTCGCGCCGATCGGGGCGGAGGCGAGGTGGCGCGCCACTGATTCGGAAGGTGAGGCGCCAATGTTTGAAGCCAATGTTTGAAGCCCTCGGCCGCACCCCACTGCCCTCCTCTTCAGCTGTCCATCGCCTTGGTGCCGCGCGCTTGTATGCTTGCTCCTCCGCTTTGATACCCTGCGTCATCTTTGCGCAGCGTGGATAGGAGTCTGACGGCCACCTGCCTGGGTAGGGGTGCCGTTGGCAATGACGCGATTCTCGCCCTCCTCACCGAAGCTTGCCCACCCCACCCACCCCACCCCTAAACGCCGACCCACCTTTGTGCCTGTCCCTCCCTTCGGAGGGGCGCCGTTTGGTCTGTCAGAGGGCAAGAAACTCGCCTCTGCCTGTCTGGCCTTTCCTTGCCGTGATCCCATCCCGGAAACCCTTTTGCAGATTCCGAGAACGACCCCGCAACAGCAATGGAAAGAGAGCGGCCCAGTCCCTCCGAAAGGCCCGAACGCGTTTTCGCGTTTCGGCGAACTCAACTCGCTCAACGGACTGGCCGCGCACCCGCAGGGCCGCGACGCTAACCAGAGTGCTTTTCCGTCTGCCGCGGCGACTGATCGACCCGCCGGCAATCGCGATGAGGCGCCTGCGCCTTTCCGCGCGAGCAGCCTGCACGGGGTCAGGCCGCGCTTTGCGCGTTTTGTGACTTTGATCGTGATTGTTTTTGGCTGCGTTTTCTCTCCTTGGAGAGGACTGTGCATCGTTTGACATTTTGCTTTTGTCGGATTGCGGCTCGAGCGGCGCCTTTTGGGGTGCACTGTGGCGCAGAGCTGCGTCGAACGCGCTGGCTTGGTGTTTGGCGAGTCGTGCTGTTGTTGTGCTGCGTTTGGTGACTTCAGCCTGGTTTGGCATGGAAGCTAGTTGTTCGCCATCCTGGTTGGCCGTTGGGTAGGTTGGGAACCCTGGGCCGTTGTAACGTTGTTTTGGGCCCGTCCCTGTGCAGGATTGAGCACGGGAGGGGAGCACGGCATGAGGAGCCTGGTCCAGGTGTGCCACCGGGCCCAAAGCTCTTTCCAACAAGATGAAAAGACAAGGGAAATCGAGCGAATGGCTACAAAATGAATGAAATGTGTCCATTGTGGAATAAAAAGAGAAATTTGGAATTGTGGCACTGCTGTTGGAAAGACCTTGGTCAGGTGCCAGATCGCCCAACACTGTGTGACAAGCCACACCCTTTTTGCAGCAATGAGCAAACAATCCAGTGGGCAAAATGGGCAAAGAATGTACTGAGTACTGTGCCCTGGGTATAGCACTTGTCTGCAATACATAATACTGAGCATTCTTTGGTTGGCGTAGTACTTGGTGATTAGCGACAAGATATGCTGGTGAGTACTCTGCTCTTGATGCAGGGCTTTTTGCTTGCTTGCAAGGAGTTGCACTCCATACCCGGTCCTCATACCCATGTTGCCAACAAGGGTGCCCAAATCCAGCTGCTGTGGTGAAGCAAGGTTGAGTAAGTTAGATTAATTAAGATCCAAAGATGTGCTGGGATCATGTTTGATTGCAACAACATATTGACCTGGACACTGGTGGTTTGGTTTGGATTTCAGGGGCTCACAAACCACCTGAATGGCTGCGCGAATTCGACGAGAATACCACAGCTCTGTTTGTCTGCTGTTGACTGTTGTCATTCTGTTTCGCAGATCAGAGAGTCCACCTGCGGGCGGTACCCCTACATGACCTCCTTCCGCGACAAGGACAACAACCACAAGTGCGCGGGGGTGCTGATCCACCCCCGCTGGGTGCTGACCTCCGCTCGCTGCGTGGATCCCAAGGACAAGGCCAACAAAGTGAACGTGGCTGTGGTGGGTGCGTGCAACCTGGGGGAGCAGCTCACGGTGCAGAACGAGGGAGGCCAGACTGTTGAGGTGGGCGGAGGGGAGTGGAGGGGGCAGGGCCCACAGCGGTGGAGAGCGGAAGTGGCAAAAATGCGTTTCTGGGCCCGCTATTTGGTTACCAGTGCGTACGGAAACAGCGCACTGAACTGGCAAAACTAACGGCCACCTGTCAGCACCTAAGCAGCTCACCTTACTGGCAAACCCAAGTAGCGCCTGCCAGCACCTAACAATATGTTAAACTGGCATTGAGTTAACCAAGCCTAATCTAACAGGACCTAGCCAGCCCACTCCTTCTGTGGTACAGTCGGTGGCAGTTTGCACAGCGTGGTTTTGCAACTGAATCTGTCACAGTTTGCTCATTACTTCTGCCACAGAATTGGCAGCACCTCTGCAGCCCATGCAAGGGACCAGATTCGGCATGGTTGTCGCAGTGGGACATCGGCTGACATGGGCCTTGGACAGGTTGTTTGCCAGCGCATCAGTGTTCAGGATCCATGCAAGGCTTAATCAGGTACAAGCCCACAAACGTTAAGTTGAGGATGCACTCTTGTTTCGCGTTCATATGCTGACATCGCCGGACAGGTCGAAGGGCTCGCTTTGTTTTGACAAATGCAGGAAAGGTTATTCGATTCAAGTTGGTTGACTGTGGAAATGTGAGCAAATTCGACAGCACGCTCACATCCAGTGCTGTGCAACCTTCCCCCTGCAGGTCTTCCTGATCAGCCAGACCATCGTCCATGATAACTGGACAGGCAGCTTTGAGGACGGCTTTGACATCGCATTGGTGCTGCTCAAGGGCGCCTCACAGCACCAGTATGTGGGCATGCCACAGGTGCGATTCATCACCCTCTATGTTCTTTATTTTGTTTGTTAACTCACTTTTCTGCTTTTTGGGCACAGGCTGATTTCATGTGTATGTATACCAAATGGTGCAGATAAAATCATGCCAGCCAGCACCTTCAGGCGCAATGGCAGTCCATTGTCGCCTCCACAGATTCAGCTTTACAGGGCATCTCTTCCGTGTTCATCTGCCCCCTTGTTCGTCTTATCAGTTGGTTTGTTTCTGTATTTCGCTTTTTGAATTGCCCAAGGCAAAACTGACACACATTTCCAATCGGCCGCTGTGGATGTGATCATCTTTGCCACCCGGTCTCCCAACTGTACCCAGCCCCCTTACTTCCCTAACACTGCCAACTTGGTGCAAGGGCATGTCACATTGCTTCATTCTGTGGGAAATGTTTTTACAGCAAGGAAGTGCACAAACACCCAGAGCGCCCCTCCCCCCAGCGTTGTGCATCAAAGCCACCAGGGTGTCCATCTTGTCTTGTTTCAAACAACACAAGCGCGAAAGGTGCAACTGTGCCAACTGCACATTGCAGGGCATCAAAGGCCTGTTTGCGAACGACCGAGTGGCGTTCGTGGGCTGGGGCCGGGACAAGGACCACAAGGTGGTGCCCGACATCAGGGTGGACACAGACATCGACGTCATCGGAAACCAGTTCTGTGATGAGAAGAGTGCATGGCCCTTCCTCAAGGATGAGATGGTGTGCATCACAGGGATAAACACGCCGCCCGACCTGTGCGCAGGTGAGTGGGTGGTCTGGGAATGTGTACCTGCAAAACTACAAATACGCAAATGGGACATGGGCAAGAAAGAAGTGTTCGATTCCCCACTTTCAGTTGCTCTTTGTGTGTTCCTTTTTGTACGAAGGTGCATGCACTGAAAGGTCGTTGGATGTTTGTCGATTGTGTCAGATGTGCAGGAAGCAGAGGTTCATTTTCTTTGCCATTTTCATTTTGAATTTGTTTCATACTTTTGACGTCATTCTGGCGTGTCCATCTGCGATCAGTGTGACAAAGTTCTTCTGTCTTTGCATCCCGAGTCCTGGCAAAATCTGCATCGATTGCTTTGGCCTTGTCGGTGGACTTGCTTGCCATGCTCAAGAAATAGGTGGCAAAAGCTGTTGCTGTGCAACAGTTCCCCTTGAGTCATGTTCGGTAGTTTACCCTTCACATCGCATTCACAATCTCCGACAAGGACAAATAGCAAGATGCATCTTAATGTAGCGTGTTATGCAGCGCCTTGCCAATGACATAACATGTCTTATATGCAGTATACAACTTCTTTTGTTCTTGGTGCTATCTTCAGGACATGGTATCTGATATTCATCAGCGCAACCGTCAGAATGAACGCGCGCTTTAATCCATTTTGTCAGTGCAGAAAAGGGCACATTGGCCACGGAACATGCAGCTGCTGTATTCAGGTCATCAAGCGTCTTCAGTTGCTCTAATGGCGCACAGGGTATCCACAACATCTGAACTTCCCTACCCTACGATCACAACTGTCCGAAATCTGACAAATCAGCGATCTTGCATCTGTTATGACAGCTGCTGAGCCTTGTTGAAGCTTGCCTGCAGGTGTGGAATATCCGTATTTGCAATGAGAGGAAGCATGCACTGTCTCCTTGTTGGGAACATTGGAATAAAATGCTGGTGAAGACGTTGTGCCACAATTCATGGGTCAGTGGCGAACATCGCCACTGACCCAAGGTGAAAGCAGCTCGCCCTGTTTCTGAAGGCACACCTGCAACAAATCTCTATACAAGGAATAGAGCTATTGAACTCCCCAAAAACGTCAACGTTTCTTGCAGAGGTATTGACCATCAATGAGATTCTTCTCCTTGCAGCGAAGAGGTGCTTTGGAAGCCTGCAGCCAACGCCCATCGCTAGCAGAAGCACCGTTTTGGCGATGCCAACTGCGATGCCATGTTGACACAAAGTGTTGCCATCGGGGTGATGGCGATGGTATAAAAAAATACCTGCGATGGCATCAATTAGTGTCAAATGGTGTCGCTGTTGAGGCAACAAGAATGGAAATTCTGCTGGTGCATACCTTACCCGCACGTGTGCACATGTGCGCATGTCTGATCCCAAACCGGCGTCCTTCCAGTTCTGATGCCTGGTTTCCTTGCGGCTCCCCACAGGCGACGTGGGGGGCCCCCTGGTGGAGCTGTTCGCTCCTGAGGGCGATCCCTCCAACGGCAACCCCAAATTCGACGTCCATGTGGCCATCGCGTCGTTCGTGGAGGAGGGCGTCCCCTGCGGCCGGGACAGGCGGCCCAACGTGTACACTCGTGTGGCGCCCTTCCGCGATTGGATAGACAAGAAGGTGAGATAGACAGCGGAATGGTGTTGTGGACAGGCTACTTTTACACATTTTACGTAAGAATACGTAAATAGGCGGTGTGTTTGAATAACAGATTGTTGTGGTGAATCCCTTAGTTTAGGACTACATTCGAAGGGAAAGTGGTTCCCTTGCACCTTGCAGCAGGCGGCGACGGACGTGTCTGCATCAGAGAATCGCAGAATCTAGCTCTGTGATCTGCGGCTGGGTTTAAGTTTATGTTGCAGCGTCTGTGTTTGATTTGCCAGAATTGGCAAAGTGCAGTGCGAGACTTGTTGATCCGATGCACAGCTCACTGGTGAAAAATTTCACAGGACATTCACTGTTGAGAATTTACGATCAGATGTATTTGATCGCGGGTCGTGTGACCAATAGATCATTGTTGCTCGATGTGAAAACGAAATACTGTTATGTTCAACTGCCAACCAATGCTGGTACATGTGTGGCGCCCTTCCGTGACTGGATGGGCAGGGAGGTGTGGACAGGACCGTGGCTCACGGAAATCTGGCTCCTTCCAATCAGCTGCCAATTGTTGCCTGTGATTGGCATGTTTCATCAAAACTCGGAATGAGCAGTGCGACAGTCGTTTTGGATTGTGTGCCCCCATCGGCCACCCTTCAGCGACTGGACAAGTGAGCAGATTAGGTTGAAGCCAACCAATTTGCAAGTACCATTGCAAATTTGTCACAAATACGCCAGAGAAAGTAGCCAAAAGGAATCCAGTCGTTGGAATGTTGTGCAGGACTGCCGCACACATCCAATGTTTTGTTGCTGCTAAATGTTGAAATGTCCAATCTGTATCGAGTGCTGTCGTTCCTCGGCTGCAGGTCGACGCAACGCCTGAGCTTGCACCCGGCACCCGCCCGGCGCCTCGAGCGCAGTCAAACTCAACCACTGGCGCTGACGCCTCCAATTCAACGGCATCCCCCGAAGGCCCAGCGGAGATCGTCGCCGTGAGTGCCCCTCTGCCACCCGTCGCCTTTCCTCCGCCTCCTCCACCCCCCTCCACCCGCTGCACCATCCACCACCACCTCCTGCTGCTCGCTTCCTCGCATCCCACCTCTGTCCTCACTCCCTCCAGGGAGCGAGTGAAAAGGGTTTGCTTGCCGCCATTGTTGATCATTTGTCTGCCAGCGCTGGGCACTGTTCAGTTGTCTTTGGCTTGAATCTATATTTGAATTGTTGTTCCCGTCAGGAACCAGGTGATGGAGCCCTCCCTTTGCGGTCAATGGAGGATTCCAGACCGCCGCTCGAGTTGCCGTTTTCTGTTTCTCAGATGCAGCCGCAGCCATTTCTCATTTCTCGTTGTCGTTTCTTTTATTTATTGCCTTTTTTCATGGTCTTGTTTTCCCTTCTTTTCTGTGTTTTTGTGCTCATTGCGCTCGCCTCCCCGTTGGTGCCGGTCCCTGGAATTGTGGCGCATCGCTCGAACGGGATCTGGTTGTTGATCCTCGAGAAAAGGCAATGGCACTCGCTGGCAAACACTATTTCGGAAAACGTGGATAAGTCTTAGCACTTCACAGTACTTGCTCATACAACATTTCCTGATATGGTGTTTGCCACCATTTTCTGCATTTTGAGTCTTCAAGTTGGAAGCTCAGTTTCGTCTTTTTCATGCCTCTGCAGTTTTCCGCGGAGCCAGAGGGGGCGCCCTCCAGTGACGACGTGAGTGCCAGCTCTACTGCTGATGCCTTGAGCCTAGGAATGGTGCCAAGTGATAATTGAGAGTATGAGAATTGGGGATGAGAAAAATGAGTAATGAGGATTGTCCTCTCTGGAATCAAGTCGCTGCACATGTCCTCGCGTTGTACTGGCAGCATTACGCTTTCCAATTGTTGGTATACTTCTAGTAGTATTGTTATTCATTACCATCACGCCATTGTATGTGCGATGTCAGTGCTGCGAACTCATTTTTTTTGCAGCCCCTGCTTTCCAGCTCGTGTTGTGCTGCATGGACGTTATCCCAGGGACGCAGAAGGCATGCTGCTTTCAATGTTTGGACGGGTTTCTTAAGGCCATCATTTTTGTGTCATTCCTTTTTTCTTGTGCACATGGTCAAAAGTTGCCCTTGCAAACCCAAGCTGAGCATTCGCAGGATCAGTTAATAATGCTCAAATCCGCTTGCGTCTGTATATGTTCAAGTTTATTGGCCCATTCAAGTTTGTCTGAATGCATTATCAAACAACAGCACCCTTACATCGGTTTGATGCATTCGTTTAAGGTATTGTTGCGTCTTGCCATCCAGGAATGTGCATTCTGCGGGGGAGGCTTCTGTTTCTTTTGCGAGAACGAATCGACACCAGCCCCTGAACCTGGGGAAGGACGAAAATGAAACGTCCCAATGGACTCGGTGGTTTAAAAGCCGCGTCATCCTTCCAGGATCTTCTGAGACCTTCTAGGGATCTATAGAACCTTCTAGGACCTTCCAGGATCTGCTGGATCTACTACTGTGCGAAGGCGGGTCCTTCTAGGTCCTTCACAGGACCTGATGGAGCCAATGTGCTGCGAGCCGCGCAGTACTAAATAATGAAAACCTGCGCGGGCCTCAGGGACCAATGCGCAGCTCGTTTGGGCTCGAGGGGCCGAATTCCGGGTGCTACCTAAATCTGAATTTGAATTGATGGCGATTGAGGACGGATGGCTCGGGTGGATGCGGAGGCAGCGCCTTGATGTCAATGCCGAGGGCAGAGGGGGCGAACGAGAGTTCAATCTCCTAGCTCGCAGATATGTGAGCTTGCATGCATGGGACGATTGCCATGGATCGATGTGCGTGGGTCAATTGCCATGAATCGGTGTGCATGGGTCAATTGCCTTGACACGGTGAGTTCAGTTGCATTCAGCGTTGGCTCAATGGGGCACCCTGCCTCGCGTCCCCCTTGAGGCGCCGCCCTGTCGGGCGCTGGGGTAGCAGCCAACTGCTGACCCACTTACTAAGTGGACGTTTTCTGACAGGAATGACTGGCGATTAGTTAGGAGGCAGCGGGTGTGTGGAAAGGGGTTGCGGTTCCATTGGGGCTCGGCTGCGCAGCCGCGATGTAGAAAGTTGACGAGGCGTGAGAACGCCAGAATTTAAATGAGAGTGCATCTGCAGTTTGTTCCCCTTTCGATGTGGGCAGAATATCTTCAAACCCTCCGAGGAGGCAGAAATCATTGCAAAGGCGGAGGGTCCGGAAGAACGGGAACGGGTGCTAGTCTGCGGTCCCAGTGAAGTGGTTGTGGCTTCCGTAGGGTCGTCAGGAATCGTGTCATCAATAATTGAACGCTGATGCGAGCGTTCAGTGCGAGGCAGTGCCGCGACTCATGCACTCCTTCAAGCATGTGGGCCATTGCGCAACTTTGGAATTCGTAGTTTGGCCACCATCGCCAGCATCGGCATTTGTATCCAGAATCAGGATGCAGTACAGGCATCCACAGATGGAATTGGTACCACAGCCACCGTTTGGTTGTTTGTGCCCAGAGTGTTGCGCTGTGCTGACGTCGCTGCTGGCGGGAAGGGCGTCCATAATCTGCAAGTGTCCTGGGACTGGGGCTGGATGTTGCCCATCCAGGTGGACTCGCCGTGTTTGTTGCGCACTGTGCTGGAGCACACCGGCTGGGAACCAAACGATGGGGCCCAACGATATACGACGTACAATATACGATTGTCGGCGAACTTCAGCACGTCCTCAGAAACTACTCAGAAGCAAATAGCTGACGTGCCCAGCTATCGGTCACTCCGAACCCGCCCAGCGCAGCCTTGGCGTATGGTGCTATTAGTTGCACTGTGCTGTTACTGCCGGGAACAAGATCAATGCATAGCTTCCAAAATCCACACCACCTCCGCAGGGAAGCAGTGGTGGACAGTGGTTCGAATAACAACGGCATCGGGATCGGCGGCCGGGGGGCTGCCTCTCAAAAAGCGACCTGTTCAAGCTTTGCAGTGCGAGCCTTGCACTTGCACTTTGGCCCCATTCTCTGCAGATTGGCATCGAAGGCATCGCGTCCCGCCTGGGTCTGCCACGGAATCGCTCACGCCTCTACCCGCGTCCCACCTAATCCAACCCTACCAAACACTTGCATGGGCCAAACGACGCGCAAGGTGGCCGCCTGGGGACAAAACAAGGGACAAAACAAGGTCAAAATCGAAAAGATTGGGTCCCAAAACACTTAACTACTATTATTTGTGAAAAATGCTCATCCCCATTACCTCTAACGCCCCCTCGAAATTGCCCAGATCTGGCCGAAATTGTGCATTCTGATTCGGTGTCGACTGGAGATCTGTGTGGTTCTGGGTCGCTCCTGTCCCAGGTGCGCCAAAGCAAAGTCGTTGTTATTGTTGAGCCAAAGGGCAGCGTCCCTCAAGTGGTATAGGGCTTGCCAAACGCGCTTAACCATGTTTAGATCCCCATCGAAGAGGCCCGTTGTCATGGCGTCGACGATGGCAGAAAACGCCACCCTCCCTGATCTCTGAAGCGAGGACTTGCAACAAGCGTAAAAGGCCAGCACCCAAGACGCCCAAGCTTGGGCTCTATGCGGGCTACCACTCTAAAGTTGTGTTGTAACTTACTTTGACATTGCGCCTCGATTGATCCTTGTATCTAGGATTTTGTGCATGGCTAGGCCCACACACCAGAAATTACCACTAGCGGCTAATTCGTACGCATTGTCTATAACCCTTTGCAATATAACTAGTCTCTACTTGTGAGAGAGGCACAACTTATCTCTCTGATTGTTCACTTCGCGTTCCACCCTTTCGATTGTCGATGCAAGGGTCGACTTCTCCATCCCGCCATGGAAACCATTCCCCTAATCGTCCACCGTTGATTAGTGTGATGGCCATCGCATTCCTTCGCACCTCTTGGAGGGGCTTGGGAGGCCTTGCGCGGTGTCCCTCACAGTAGCAATGAGGTTTAAAGGTCGCGCCCCAAAATCCAGGCCAAAAATGCATTCCCGAGTTGGCCACTCGATCTCGAATTAGGGCAGCGAAGCCACAGCGACTTCCACAATCAAATCCAGCAAGACACGTTTTCTACTGCTTTGCTTCTCCGCAAAGACGTATATGAGCTTCTGTCCAAACGGCATGGACAGTTTTGCATAAGTGGCTCTTTTTCGCCACCGCGAATGCGTGCTCCTCAAAATAGCGAAAATGGCCATTGTCGTGGAGCTGTGGCAAAACGGGTGTTTCTGCACAGAGCACCCTTATTACAAAGTACTGCCACATCCTCAATACTTAACGGATTGACTTGAAATTTTGACGGTATACTCCAAAACCGCAGGCACTGCCTTGGACAAAATTGCATAGGAAAAGGAAGAACTTATGACGGAGGAGCGATGCGCCAAAATCAGAGAGGACATTTGATGTGGGACGGAGGAAGTAGTAATGAATGGTACTTCGAAGAATCATACTACCCCCGCTGGGAGGCAGTTATTTGGTGGGTCCGCAGGTGTGAGCCGCGGCCCTGTCGGTCACCCCGGACCCGCCCAGTGCCGCCCTGACTAGTACGTAGTGGCTCCCCCCCAAAGCTCTCGCCGGGCGGCCCTCCCTACTCGGTCACAGCTTTTTGGATCCTGGCGGCTCGACAGCGTCCCAAAGGCGGCGCAAAACGGGGCCCGGAGCTGTTTCGATTGTCGAATCTTTGCGACTCCAGGGGAGCGGGGAGCCCGGGAAGGAGGGGTGATCGACTCGGGGCGTCGCCATTCGTGCGGAGGCAAGGTGGGCGAGCCCCGTTTTTGTGCCCCGTTTTTTTCCTGTTCTGTGCGGATGTTGGAGATGTGGAGCGGATGCGATTTGTGGGGAGGGCGGCGGGAGATCGCGGTGGGCGGGCGGAGGCACGGAGCGGGGATCCCCGCCCCGGCGGCGCGGCTTCGATGCGGTATGGGATCTCGGCATCTCTCCGACGGGGTCCGCCACCATGGCTCCCTGCGGGACGGAAAGCGAGGAAGCATATGCCGTAAGGCATACCAGGCTGGGCGGGCTGGGCAAGAACAGAAGCAAAAATGCCCGCGCGAACTGGCGATGAGGATTCGCGCCATCGCGATCTCCCCCGGGCCCGGCGCGCGGATCCGCGGGCGGCCGATCCCGTTCCGCCCCGCGGCCCTAGGCCCACGGCCCCTGCCGACGACCCTCGGCGTGGCATCTTGAGGACTGCGGGCGGATGGCACCTCCTGTTCCATGGACTCGTCCTCAGCGGCTGCAACCCATCAAAACTGCCCTGTGGCTTAGTGGACACGGTGACACAGTTGACACGTGTGTCTCGCCTGCCACAGTCGAGGGCATCAGAAGCATTCGGCGGGCGCCGCGCGGGCCATGCGGAGGTTGGGAGGCGGGATGCGATCGGAGGCGGCTTTCCGCGCCGTGGCGTTGACTTTCCTGGCGGCGGTGTCGATCTTGGGAGGCGGGGAGGCGCGGCCGGAGCCGTGGGGCGGAGGTGAGGCGCCACGGGGCGGGGAGGGAGCAGCTCGTGACCACAGTACATTATTTTGGGACCCAGTACTTTGAACAGTACTTTCCTTCCACTCTTTGGACCGGGCGTTGTACTTTGGGGTCAGCACTTTGGGTTCGGGAGGGATTCCCGCGGCAGATTCTGGGGGGATGGGACGTGGTGTGAGTGGTCCGGGGTGTGGGGAGGCGCGGGGTGGTGCGCGGGGGAGAGGCTAATCACGTGGGTGTGGGCGTGTTATTCATGCGGCATGGGAGGGTAAGATTTTGTTAAACTGATAGCGCAGTGATGCGACCGCGGGCGTGGCAGCGCGAGGGGGGCACACGGAGACAGATGCAAGGCGGATCTATCACAAGGGCAAAGGGCCACTGGCCGTCACATCACATGCATACCCAGGGTACTGTCAGCGTCCGCTGGACAGGGTATGCCGAGGCAACACTTCAAGAGCGAAGCCGGTGTTGCGTTCATCGCATGAAAAGGCAGAACGCCCTGCGCCAATCTGGCGATGTCGGGCAGTGGCCCCAAGCACGTGTGTTTGTTCAAATCTGCAGGAAAGCAGGTCGCACACCGGGCACCCCTCCTGAGGAAGTTTGCTGTGGAAGGATGGTGTGGATGTGATTCCTCAATTTGTTACAAATGTCTTGAAAATGAGGAAATGCGCACACGCACTTGCCATGCTGTCAAATGATGATGTGGAGTATACCTTTGCGAGATGAAGAGCACACAGTGCGAGCAACGGTAATGGCAAGAAACCAACAATGATGACAAAAACACGGCAAGGCAAGCATGTGGTAAAGACAGTGGCAAGAAAACATGCAGTTGGGGGGGAGTGCAGGGGGGGAAATGCCTCCTTAACAGTCACCAATGAGCGCATGGATGAGAGGTGTGAGCAGGGGTGGTCGTGATAGTGTGTCATTTTGGGTGTCCTGGCGCAGATGCAGAGCTGCACGGAGGGCAGCGGCTCAGGCGGCTGTGGCAGGATGAGGTGAGCCTTGCATCAGCCCATGGGCCTGCCAGCCCATGCGCGCCTCAGTCGCAGCTCTTTTCAAGCATGGATGCTGTCTGTCTTGTGCTTCGATTCGGAATGAGGAACATCATGAGTTGTTTTTCGTGCAGCAGAAATTTGTATGATGTTTCAGGTTGTGCATACAATAGATGATTACTGGAACTGGAAACATTATAGAGTGTGTTTTCGGAGGTGATGACAATTTAGTCAATTGATTGCTACGTAGTATATTCATTACTTACTGTATTTATTATGCATTAATCTCATAATAGTTATGCAACAATACCCAGTCAGTGCCAAATGGCGCTGCCACCCTTTCAGGCAAATTGCATGCCCAAAGCACCAAGCACCCTCACCACCGCAAGGACCTCCCGTGCACCTCTGCCTCCATTACTTACCTCCGCATGCATCGCCATACTCACCATATTCACCGTTATCACCATATTCATCATATTCATTGGATTTAGAATAGAAATACTCGTCACATTCACCAAATTCGTCACATCACCAAGAAATTACATAGTCATCATATTGGTCAGATTCACTAAGAGTTCGTCATAGTCGTCATATTCACCACTGCTTTCGCTGCATTCAATTTTCTCACCATAACGGCCACCCTCCAGGTCGGTGCGGCACCCAGCGGCAGCCCTGCTGAGTGTGGCCGGCACCCCTACATCGTGTCCCTGCGGGATATGAAGAACACGCACATGTGCAGCGGGGTGTTGGTCGACCCGCGGGCGGTGCTGACGTCCGCGGGGTGTGTTACGGGGCCCGAGGGCGGGCAGCAGTACATAGCCGTGGTGGGCGCTTGCAGGCTGGAGGACGCCCTCAACGAGACGAACGATGGAGGGAAGGTGGAGGTGAGGCACAGCTCTGGAACAGAAGTGCTCATGTTTGGCTGGGTAGTCTCTTGTGTCAGTCTTCAATTGTTCTGCAGTTAATTGATCTGCCACATTGGGTTATTCGCTGCATTGGGTTGATCAGCCATTCTTCAGTTGTTCCACAGTTAGTTAATCTACCATGTCAGGTAATCTACTGCATCAGGCTGTAAGCGGCCTACATCACACACCGGACTGCTGGTTACCACAGAGCATACAGCACATATGAGTGGGCATGTGCATACACATTCACAAGCACTCATGCACATGCGCAGGCGCAGACACATCTGTAAACACATGATCACACAAATCCTTGTGCGCATGAGCATGCAAATGCACACGCACATGTATGGGGGCAGGCGTGCGTCACTGACCCATGGTCACATGCGCAGATTTTCCAAACGAAGCAGGTCATCACCCACGAGAACTGGACAGGGAGCATAGAGGACGGCTATGACATCGCCCTCATTGTGCTGGATGGTGAATCCAGTCGCTCTGTAATCGGCCTTGCTGCTGCCAAGACGCAAGTGAGGCAGAACGACAGGGTGCGTGGCACTCCCGGGATGTATCACGTTGTCACGAAAAGTACATTTAATAAATTTTTGATTGTTGTGAATAGGCATTGTTTAGTGAAGTAGCATGACAAGGCGCATGGCAAGAAAGCAACGCCCATTTCGATCATTTCATTGCCATGTCTGACCTGTGTCCGGGCTTGTTATTTATGCCGTAAACACAGATTGTATTTGCGCTTTTGCACTTAAAAAAACGTAAAAACTATGTTTGCGTGTAAGAACACGTAATATTCTGTAAACACAGCGTAAGTACAACCCCGTGTACATAGGGACAGAACGTGCAGACCTAGGAAATGGAGTAGCAGCCAGAAGCGCTGCAGTGGGCAGAAAACGAACATTTTTCCCATGCCATCGTTGCCCTTGCCGACGGCGAGGTGGGCTCTGTGCTGTGGGTGTTCGTGGGCATGGATCATTGTGCGCGACTTTCATCGTGTAACCTGTGTGTCACAACGCGCCTCAAAAACGTAAGTACAGCTGTAAAAATAGCCCCTTTTTGCAAACTTACTTTTTTCCACATAAAAACCAAACGTAGAAACGTAAACGTAAACAGCAAGCCTGCCTGTGCTGATGGGTTTTGATGTGTTTGCGTCCATGACACGCAATGTTTCTCGGACTGAATTGAATCATGATAGAGCGACTGAAATTCGTGTGCCGCCAACGTACTGTGCACTGGGCCGGAACCAATATTGGGCGCTGATTCAAGAAATGCCCAACTTAATCAAGTCCCCTGTGTGTTGAAATCACGAAAGGTGCCAGATTTGTGGCATTAATTGCGCCGTTGAGTTGCGTCGCCATTCGCCCAAAAGGAGAACACCGTGTGATTCCAACCATGCTCATTATGCGACCACAACCATGTTCATTCTGTGATTCGTCCTTCGACACAGTTTGCTTTTGTTCCATTCGATTTTCAGGTGGCAATGGTTGGATGGGGCCTGGACGGCACGGGGAAGAAAGTGCAGGAACTGCAGCTGGTGGAGGACGTGCAGGTGTGTGCAGCTCAGCCATTGACTGGAAGCGCCTCTTTCGAAATTCGCCTTATTCTGAATCAGATTCAGATGCACGAGGTCAATCTTGATTTGCATCCAGTGCACGGAATTAGGCTAAGTCGGAAATCAAGCCGTCAGATAGTGTACTGTACCATATCAAATCAAATCGAGCCACAGTGGCGCGACAGCGTCATCGCTGCTGTCTGTGTGCTGTTGACGATTGTCCGGTACCTATTATTTCCAGACATGAAGATCATGAAGGGGTAATGAAGGTCATGAAAGATATTTGGACCTGAAATCCTAAAAATCTACAACCCTGCAGGAGAAAACCTTCGCGACCTTCATGACTTCATGACATCATGACGTTCATGACCTCGATGACTTCTCGTCCAGAAATGCAGGGTATCGGGCATTTGTGCTGCCGTCTGCTCTGCGCGCCTTGCAGCTGAGTGCATTTTGAAATTCGCCGGTGCGCTCAGGTTGTCATGAACGACTTCTGCGACGAGGAAAACGGCTGGCCGTTCCTTAAGGACACCATGCTGTGCACCACGCAGATCGACCTGTGCCGAGGTGGGCCTGTGCGCGATGCCATTGTCGGCGAGGACCTTGTTTGACACGTTTGCATGAATTTTGATCGTTGCATGACGTGCCTTGGCGGCGCCGCAGAAGTGCTGGTTATTCATATTGTTATTCACATTGTTCACATTATTCATATCAGTCTTGGTTCACTGGCGACAGCAGGCGGCTGCAGGTGGCAGCTTACTTTTGATTCTGAATTGGCTTTTGAAAGATTTCTCGAGTATTTGCGCCAAAGCACAGGCCACGGCGTGCGCATTGGAAGGATTGTGTTGCTGAGAATGCAGTAATTATGCAGAATTTTTGACCAGGTCAAAAACGTTTTCAAACCGACGGGAAATGCACAAAATGGAGCTTTTGCCAGTGTTAGTAATGGAGGAACATGCCGGGTGCGTGCCAAGATGCCAAATAAATGTAACACGCCCAGTTCTTAATTTATAACTGATATACTGAATTTGCCGTCAGCAAATAAATCGAATGTCACAGATTTACTGGGGATGGCTTCAGATGCAAATGCGTCTGAGACGGCTGGCATGACATGCAGAATCATCATCATCATGATTTTTTACAGAACAAGGCAATGAGGTAGCCGTCAGCTTCCTATTTTGCCTGAGCAAAGCAGAGTCAGTGACTGGATCATTGGAATCTATAGAGAAATGCAAACTAAATCTATCATCTATGACATCTATGACATGCAGAATCAGTGCACCTGACTGATGTGCGAACGCGTTGTGCCAGTGGTCTTGAAATTATTCTGGACCACAAAGCACTGGTCAATGCTGCCTTTGCACACTAAAGCACTGCCGCGGTTATTGACCAGCTTCCATAGCGCTGAACCCACGGGCCAGAATAGTGGCCTCCCGGATTGCCCGTGTCTCCTAAGCCATGGACAGCTCGACCCTGGAACGCTGCATGACCGGCGATTTTACCTGACGACTTTGGCTGACGACTATCGCCAGGCGACCGCGGCAGCCCCCTGATAGAGCTGTTCGCGCCGAAGGGCAATCCCAGCGGCGCCAGTCCCAATTTCGACGTCCTCGTGGGGATTGCGTCATTTGATGACGAAGAGGCTGGCTGCGGTGAGGACAGGCGGCCGGATGTGTACACGCGAGTCAGCAACGTTCGGGGTTGGATAGAAAAAGAGGTGAGATTGCTATTTATTATCTATTTGATTTTGCTTTAATATATTTCGTTATTTCTTTGTTTACCAGTTACTTAGTTAGTCCGTGGTTATTTGGATTCGGCGAACAAATCATGGACACTGATGTCCTTGTGGTGTAAAAAGGAATGATGATTGTGACGATGAGATTTGCTTTTCATACAGAGGTCATAATTGCTTCAATTGCTGCAATTGGCCGGCGTCAGTGCGCGATGCTTGCGCCCGCGTAATGGCACATTAGCTTACAATGTGAGACACAATATTTTGCCAGAATGTTGACGTGCGTATATATTCTGTTGAACATTCTGTTGAATTCTGTCGAAATATTATGTATACGTTCAAAAGGAGACACTGCACGGTCACCTTGTCCGTGCGGCCTTGCCTTCTTTGTGCGCCCCTATCTTCTTTCCAGATGCTCTTCTTCAGACACCTCCTTTTCCTCGCCGCCGCGACTGCATGCCATTGAGCGTCTTGCCAACGTTGCCAGAAAAACGGGTGGCCGACACTCGGCCAACGGCGGCAGAAATGGCGCCAACTTTCCCCTCGGAGTCCAGCTTTCGGCCTGCGGCGCTGATTTTGCGCTCCTCTGGCGCCTGTCGTGTGCAGATTGAGGCGCTGAGGGCCCCACCTCCCGCCATCGTTGCGTTGGAAACGGGGGAGACGGGCGCCATGAACGAGACAACGAGCACCCTGAACGTGACGTCAAGTGCACAAAATGGGACGGCGAACGGCCAAAACGGGACGGAAGCCATGGATGAGGTAATACAGCCAGCTGCGACGGCGAAAGTGTCGAAGTCAGGCTTGCTATTTATGGCATAGACATGGCGTGCGTTTACGTATCTTTTCGTGGGAACGCGTAGAATATGGTAAGCACAAGGTGTGCCCATATATGCCGTGTATATAAGCATATATGCCGTAAATAGCAAGCTGGATAGAAGGCCACGACGCTTGCTGCTGGGGGGGATGCCAGCTCTTTAAGTGTGCGGTTCTAAATGTGGTATTCCAATTTTCGATTTTCGACACTTTAAAACGAGCAGACGCTTGTGGGACGGGGACAAAGCGAAATCCCAGGTTGTGATTGGTTGGCTTGCTCCCATTACCGAACAGGTGGTTACGCTCGCCACGCGCTGTACATTCAGCCGATTGATACTGTTCCAGTTCTTATGACATAGTGTGAATGCTGTGTCATGCGTTCATTGACCATTCGTACGTATTTCAACATTATCTTTAGGAATGATTTGCGCTGCTTAGAAATCGATGGATCGACGTGCATGTGCAAGCTTATATTTGGCGCTGTTGCGTGTGAGCCATCATCGCGCACTTTCCTGGCAGTGTCGCACTACTTTAGACAGCGCTACATTCTCCCTGTACTTTAGCGCAGTGTTGTTCCTTGTACTGTTTCGCTGTACCATATTGGCGCCGGCGGAACCGCCAAAATGTTTCTGTCCTTTTTGCAGAACTCGGACTGCGCCCTGTGTGCCATGAACAACTCGCTGTGCTTCTTCTGCGGCTCCTAAAGAGGACTGATGTTTGCCCTAATTAGGATTTAGAATTGCCTGATTGCGATTGGGAAATGTCGTAAGTAGGACTGAGAATTGCTATTGATAGGAATAGGAATTGCCCTGAGCAGTAGTGGGTATCGCTCTGAATAGGACTAGAAAGTGCCCCTAATAGGCTGAGAGGTGTCCTGCATGGAGCTGAGGAGTGTCCTAAGTAGGAATGGCAACTGCCCTAATTGGGCTGGCACTCATCCCATTTGGTTGGGACTTGACTATTGGGGGGCTGAGGCGCAGCCTTGCAGGATCCGAATAAGGGGCACTCCGGCTTCGCTTGCGTTGGAGGCTCACATCATCAATGCCTTACCAGATTCTGGTCAAGTTCTGACCACATTACGAAAGCGGCTTCAGGCTTGGCCCCCGCCCTGGTCGCCACTTGTGGCGGCGGCTTAACTAGGACCTAACACGGCAGGTTTAGGGCTAGGGGTGGTGTGGATGGCGGCATTCAAAAGTCGTGCCCGAGGCGAATTTCGCCTCTTCATTGATCGGCGGACGCTCTTTGGCGAATGTGCAGTGGATTGATAGGTCCTGAATTAGATTAATTAGATTGATATTTGAAAAGTCGTGTAGATTAGAAACAAGGATGAGCATTAGCGATGACATCACGGTGCGGGGCTCAGATGGCCCCTGCAACACATTTCGACTTTTGAACATTGTCCGGCCTTCGAGGCAGTGCCCACCCACATCTGCCGGTGCGATGGTGCTTTCTGTGAGCAGGACCTAGTACGATGGGAATAACTGTTTGAGCAAATGTTGGGTCCGGAATACCCAAACAATCAGATGAATGTAGCTGCATGAAGCGAGCAATGCGGTAACATTGTTCATCGCTAGAGCACCCAAGCGTCCAAGTAGCGCCGCAGTCGCTATCTTCCGAAGTCTTTATGGCAAGGCCACTAACAAGGGCTCGATGGGCCCTTTGGTTCTGATCCGGGGTTGCCCCGCCATTGGCACTAACAAAGGGCGTGAAGTTTCACCACTGAACTCATGGCGGACCCTTTGTTAGTGTGAAGTGCAGGGCAACTCCAGATCAGAAACAAAGAACGTGAAATTTCACCACTCAGCTCATGATGGATTATGCGCAAGGCGACGGCGACCCTGAACTTGCTGTCCTGCTCTCAAACCAAACCGCAGTGTTACAACATGTCCACAACACGATCCCCCCTGCTTCACACACCGCACAATGCCCTCAAATTCCGTAACTCAAATTGTGTGACACGGAACTGCGTGACAAATTTCGTAACTCAAATTATGACCCCGCGTTCGGCGCCACTGCCCCCGTGAGACCCTACCCAGCTTGCGGAAAAAAACACACAAAGCTCATGGTACCAGGTAGATATCAGCTTCTCTGGAACTGGCGCAAGATTGGCAGACTGCACGTGACTTCCGGCTTTCACATGGCTTCTCCTGATTGTGCAGATTCCGCACAGTTTCGTGCACGCCGCATCTTAACCACCATCCTTCCAATTGCGTAATCGAATCATCGGATTGAAGTTCCGTCACGGCACTCTTGAGATGTGGGCCGGGACTGGGCTCACCTGTAGACGATAATGCTCCCTCCTCCGTTCCAAAATTTGAACGCCAACGGCCACAAGACCCGAGCCGCTGCGGCTGCATTATTGCGCCGTGCACTGATCGCACCCTCGCTGGAACACACGGACATGAAAATGAGAGAAGAATGCCGAGACGCTGATGTTATCTTTGGGCAACGTGAATGTGTCTTTCGCCGCCCCCAATCCGATCATTCAAGTCTTCCGCGTGGCCAGGACAGCTGCGACGCCGCTGCGCGCCATCGGCGCTCGACTGAAGAGCTCAGAGTTTATTTCCCTTCGTATCATTTGCAGGCACTCAAAACGCATCTTCTAGAACCTGCGCATGCAGGGCAACAATCAGGCTGTAACGGTCGTCAGCTGTACTCCATGCGTTGGTAGTTAAGCATGTGCTCGACATTGATTGGAGTCAGTCAATGGCTCGATATCGCTAGGAAAAAAAGGCCAGATGACACAGCCCTGACACGGTCTGCTCAAAATCAAACCGTGTACTTTGGGCAAATGTGGTCCAAAAGGTACACAGTCAGTACACAAGTTGACGCAGTTTCAACCGTGTACCCTCACACAGCTGTGTATGCTACACGGTTTCCTAGGGTGCACGGTTAAAACTGTGCCAATGCGTGTACTAAATGTGTAGTTTTGGGACCACATTTGCCGCAAGTGCACGGTTGGATTTTGAGCAAACCGTGTCAGGACTGTGTCATTTGGCCAGTTTTTTCTAGAGTATTTTCATTCCCGGTGTGAGTCTGTCAGCTCGTGACGCAGTGCACAGAGCACCCACTCAACGCACTGCTGAGGTATTTATTTATCTCCTATTTTAATTAGCCAAGTGGCTGGCTGCCATGGGAGCAAAGCATGGCCGCGTCTAGCGGCATCACCCCTACATTTTACTGGACAATGCATGTACGCGCAGTGTACTGTAATATGTACTGTACTGTACAATATACATCCATTGTGCTGTACGCACATGGAATGCTGTGCATTATTTGTTTTACATGATATTAGCCACACGAGTAGCTGTCCTTTCAAAGAAAAAGATGGAACATCACGCGCAATGCAAAAATGTTTCAATTGTGAGTGATCATTTGACCATTTGACGTTTGGCAGTCGCCACATCAAAATCTGTCTGCAACTTATGAGCGTTGCAAGGTCTTTTTGCAAAGAAAATCCCGGTACAAGAACAGAATGACGCAAAGAAGATTCGCGTGAAGGTGAGCACGCCATCGAGGGTTCCACGCCAGCAAGCGCGACGGCCGGGAGTCTCACATTCGCTCACCTCACCTCATTGTTGTACAATAGCCCGATAGCTACAAGAAGCCCTGCAAGGCAGCGAAGGATCAATGACGAGTAAATATGGATAAAATAAAAAGTAGAAATGGATGAATAATCACCAATGGGCAACGCTTTCGCTGAACGCTGTTGCACTCACTTGGGCACAGAAGCCTTCTCTTCGATATTGCGGTTTGCACGCTGCCTTGCTCCAGAATCCGGTGATCCGTCACTACTGATGCCTTAATTCAGGCTGCTCCAAAGCAAAGGTACATATGTGCAATATACTCGAACACTAGTCACCGATTACCAGTAGTACGTGATTATTGTAAATAGCTACTTGTATGCCAGTATTACTTGTTTTTCTTTTCCTCGTGTAATTTGATTACCAGTATTTATTTGATTAGTACATACTAAATTTTTTTGTTATGAATAGTAGTAGTAGATACTGGCAGTACTTTTTGCATTCACTTGATTCATGCATACACGGATGGTCCCACCTGCGTGGATGCTGTGGTGGGAAGCAGCACGGCGTCGATGACGTGAGCCACAGCGCCGCAGGCCCGAAAGTTGCCCGCCAGGATGTTGGCGGCGCGGCCCACCGGCGGCACGATGGCGGCGCCCAGGGCAACCTCCGTTGCGTTGACGGTCAGCGTTTCGGCCGCCAGAGTCACGAGCGGCGACTCCGACGACAGGAGGTCCGGCACCGCAAGGGCCCGCCCAGGAACGACGTGGAGTTGGAGCACCTGCACCAATTTCATGCCAACAACGTACGGTAAAAATCCCTATGTAGCGCCCACGGCCCCCAACAGCGCCCCCATTTTGGCTTGTCGCCATTTCTGTAGTACTTTAAACAGCTTCGCTGCCCGGTGGGACCTCAAGCTAGTATTGTGGACACACAAGAGAGGTGCGCGGTGGACGGACGCCGCGGCGGCAGAACCTTTCCGCGAACTTGGCATATCGGCGGACGGCACGTCCGGTGCCGGGCCGTTGACCGGCGTTGACCGTGGAATGGGCATTCGGGGCACTGCGCAGGGTCGTTTTGACCGGCGTGTGCGGGTGGCGAAAGGTCCACAATGTGGTGTTTTGCGGCGTCACCTCACGGTGGGGGCGTGGGTGGCGGCCCACAATTTTGCTTGGATGGTGGCCGCTCCGCCTCAACTGTTGCGTTAACGCGGGGGGAAAGCTGGGTAATGCGGGGGTGCTCCAGCCATAACGCCACCTGCGTTACGGATATTCGCAGACATGCTCAACGCGGCGGGCCGTAATCCCCCGTTCTCTATGGTATGATGGGCCCAAGCCTGGTTGGGCGCAATCCGCATTCCTAATGCGTGCAAGTCCACGTGACGAGTTGTGACAGGCACCGTGTAACATCAGTGCAATCCCCAAACACGGTGTTCCACTATTTTGACACGATGGCACATGGTACACTTGTGCGATGGGTCAATTTGGTATCTCAGCAGGTCGTAACACGGCTAGTGTGTCTACGTTTGCGCCTTCCTGTAATGGGTATTGTTATTAATGACTATAACTACAATCAAATGCATTGAACAAATAAATTCTTTAGAGGCCCCGTCCCCCAATAGCGCCCCTTTTTGGCCATGTCACGGGGGGGCGCTATCTAGGGACCCTTGCTGTAACGCAAAGTGCCAATGAGTATCGATGTATTGTGATGCATCAATTATAAACAATTGTGAAGTACACCCATTTTGGAACATGTATGCGTGTTCAAAATTAGTGCACTTCACAATTTATCTACATATTTTTAACCAGACGTAGTGTTATTGTACATAATCAGTGCGCCAATACCAATACTCTAAAGCAGCACCCATTTTATAAAAGACGTACATAGGTAAATGCGTTTGTCCGCGTTCATGCGAGGCATGTAGTGGCGTGCCTACATACTCAACCACAAGGATTACGTATATGTACGAAAGGAATCAATTCGCATTCATTTAAAATCCCAAGGATTCCGGGTAGAGAGGAATCTGCCAACATCTGCTTATTCTCCAAGATTGGGAACCTGCTCTTATTTAATACTGTTGTCATTAAGGTGACACTAGCAATACATAATGCAGCATAAAGCAATAGATGTGCCACTGTGTGGCTGGTGCATAACCTGCATCAAGGCTGTTTTCACTGAGAGCTGTTCCTGTTGTTAACAGCGAAATGCGTGCATTGAACATGAAGTGTATTGTAGAAACATAGCAGCATGTGCAATGGAACTGCTCTGGGCTTCAGAACTTGTGGAACAGGGCAATGTAACATGAGACACTGCTGTGGAAATTTACCGATCAAAAATGTATATCCAACGTGGTAAGTACCGTGATTGACAATTCTTCACCGTTGCCTACTACACTCGCAAGCGATCCTCGGACAATAGCCGCTTTACACACATTCGACCAATTGGAAATTTGTGCGGCGTAGCGAGGTTTTATTCAATTTGGGGCTCATGGATAGTAAATGCAATAAAAATCCCCGCAGTTCGATAGCCTTATGACACCGCTTAACCGCACGGTCATGTCTATTTAAATAATGACAAAATATGCCATTTTCCAAGTACTTCCAGGGCAGTACATTGCGCAAGGCTGTGCAACGCCCCACCCGCGTGAGAAGCGCCTTCTGCTTCAGGAGCTCCTCCTTCGTCGTTCTCAGGCCAGCGATGAGCGACGAAAATGCGGCGTTGGTGGGAAGGAAAACGGTGGCCTCCAAATTGACGTCGGACAGGGCGCCCGTGAACTCGGCGGTCTGGAACAACAGTGACGAATTCCTTTGCAACCACTTTGTGATAGGGAATGTTCCGATAGTATCGTATTTTGCTATGTTGTTCCCGCGGCATTTTGATAACAGCTGAGTGTTCATGTGCATAAGTGGTGATCTATTAGTGTTTGTAATTTAATATGACTGTTCAGATGTTTGTTGAGCCGTGCCATGCGTTATCAACATAAGCTGTTAAGTAATAATTGTCCATTTATACTTAAGCAATCCATGGATTGCCATATTCTTCTGTTGATTGCCAACAGCAGGGAAAGTTTCACAGATCATGAATTTACATTCACTTTAAATTGGGCGACTGCCTCTCGCGTGAATTAAAGGGAAACTAGTCAAATGGTTGCACCAATGTCTTACAGCATATCATGAGGTTACATTGTCGTTTTCTTGAAGTCGAGCATTTACGTACAGAATTCATTTGTGCATACACCCACGACGTAGAAAATTTCTAATGTGCATGTCCAGAAAAAAAAACTCCGAAGCTCGCTGCAAAAGCAGAAGTCATGGTCAGGAAATTCAGAGAGGCATTTCCGAGTAATTTATCTGCGTGCTATTCCATTTTTCATGTTTCATGTGCATTTTTGTACATTCCATCGTTCAATTTTGTATGTCCCATTTCGTATACACCATATGTCCCATATTAAATCTCATATATATTTAAGAGCAAAATTCGCTAAAAGCACCTTTCGACTTAAAGAAGACGATAATAACCAGGAAAAATGGGTTACAAAAACTTAGCTACCAATTAACAAGAGGAAAAATGAAACCCGAGACCCGACCCCTTTGGACATTGTTCAGAAGGCAAATTTGTTCATTTCTGAGGGAAAACTCCAGCCTGACTAGGTAATAGACGCTTGGTGCAAACTGAAACGAAATCCGCAACCCTCAACGGATTGACTTGAGTTTTGGACCGCATACTCTAAACTCGTAAACACAGCTTTGTTCGAAATGTTATTAAGAATTGAAGCGCGTACTTTGAACGGCCGTCTCCGCAGCATCGTTGGAAGGTGAGTGGTTTTCTGGGGGTATGGCCCTTCACACAAAGTGATGTCGAATCCGAAATTCTCAAGGGACGTGCTTGAATTTTGTGTCACATGCTCCAAAATCACAAGGACGGCTATGCATGATATTTCATTGCATAACGAATTTCGTTGATGAATAAGTAGCGCACCAAATCCACAAAATGACACTTAATATGGGACGGAGGACGTGTTACACAATCCATTTTTCATTTTGCGAGTATAGACGCCAATGACAGCAAAACGCCGTTCTCGAAAACGCAGTAGAAGTAGACAAGTCCAAAGCTAAGGCATCGGTGTGCAAATCACAAAGCGAAGCTCGCCCGCGGTCAACGCCTAAAACAAATATTTAAACGCCGACTGCGCGCGGCACGCACCACCGCTGTTTAGCAAAGGAATTGTGTGCTAATCGTGCATTATGTAATTGCACACTAATGAGGAATCATTCCGTCCCTCCGGGACGCGCCTGCGCACCTGAAACACCTCGTTCAGCAGCGACAGCGCGGGGCTGCCCGCGACGCCCGCCGCCACGCTCGAGCACCCCACGCTCTGCCCCGCCACCTGCAAATCCTCCCCTCTCCCCACTCCCCACCCGACCTCCAACATGTCACACGCCTCTCCCCCCGGGCTCTGCAACCTCACCGCCCTCCTTTTCCCCAAAACGACCCCCACGGATGCGGATGTCGACGATCCCTGGGGTGGCCTTAAGGGCCCTGTCTGGCGAGATACTGGCCGGGATACGGTCTGAGGTGGGATTCGCGGTGGAGGAGGTGGCGACGGCGGCAGGCTCTGGGGAAGGATGGTGGGTGGGCGGAAGATGGGGGCAGGGGGGGGAGGCGGGGGGCGGGGAGGGGGGGGCGGGGGGACGGACTGGGGGAGGATGGGGGCGGGAGGCGGGAGGGATTGGGGCAGGACGGGGGTGGCCGGGACGAAGGCGGGGGAGGGAGGCGTGGGCACCTGTGCAGGGGGACAGGAGGGGCGTCAGATCCGGCTAGATTTCGGCAGCCTTTCTCGTTCTACCGTTCTTCACCGAGCACTGATGCGGCAAATTTGACACGTAATTTTGTCTCCAGTTGATCCACGCTAAATTTCAGCCTCGAGCCTCGGATATTCTAACTCGGTGTTGATCGCCTCTGATAGCGCGTTTTACACACATTTGCGTATCATACACCATTCATCGCGTTTTGCAGCTGCTGTGATGCACTGTGGGTGCCCATCGTACGTTTAGTACACAAGCTCTGTGTATTATCGTATTCAAAGTACGGGAGAGAATTCTTAGCCCGGCACATACCATAGGTGCGCCGTTGACGGCGATTCGAACGTCCGAGGTGGCGAATCCCGATGACTGACCGCCGGCGGGGGCCCCTCCTGCACAATTAAACCCATCTAATTCTATCAATGTCGATTTAGAATGAAGTTATGTTGCTGTAAATTTGAACTCCAATTCATTGCAAACCCGCATCGATGTGGCAGGTCTCGAAAACTGCCACGCAGTGGCAGCGACTCTGGTGCATATTTAAAATATTGACGATGTGCAATGAATATGAAGCAAGCAAGAGGATATCATACCGCATTCAATTCACATCTCATGCTATATTTAACCCTTAGTAGACCTTCAAACCTATTGAAAATGTATTTCAATCTATCACTCATTCTGGCCATTCTCTAGTCAATTTGGTGCATTTCAAAGGTCGGAAATGGAGTGAAAAGTATATATGTCAATTGGTATTAAAACACTCAATTACCCGCAAAATTCATGAATTTTCCATTTCTTTTCAACTCAAGAATTGCTGGCGCTCACCTCCGAATAATCCTCGGAGCAGACTCGAGAGCAGCAGCGTTTTGGTGATGAGGATCTGGCCACGCACCTGTGGCTCTCCGTCCCCGGGACAGCCGTTCAAGCCGGGAAGCCGAATTTGGCATTTGGAAATTCTGAGAGTTGGACAAAACCAAATAAAAAATTTCAACATGTTCAAAGTTGTTATTGCGGAATGTTTGTTTTTCAGCACATAAACAAGGAGCCATCAATCTGGCGCAACAGTGATGCGTGTCGCACTGCACACTCGATGGCGCGTCATTTTCATAGCACATCGTTAGAGCAGAGAATACTAGAAGAACTAGCGAGAGTACTATAAAATTCATGAGAAATAGTGCTGCAATTCGTGATCAACAACAAATGCTTTTGTTTTCTTTCATGTTGTTTCCATGGTATTATACTTTAAACAAATTACATATTAGAAGTTATATAAGTTGAAATAACTGCCTATGGAATTGTAACATGCACGTGTCCATAAAATTTAGAACTTTGTGGGAAAATTTTGCCAGAAAATTGAGAGCCACATACCTGTCGACGAATATGTCGGGAGTCAACGTGGTGCCGTCGTAGGGAAGCTGCTCCAGCATCGTGCTGTAGTAACCTTCCGAGCACATGCCTGCATTGAGACACGGATTTAACACAACGCTTTCATGGAATTAGAAAATTGCAATTTAAATATACAACGCCTGAAAATTTTCGGTAGAGGACCTTCAGAAGATATACGTACATTTTTGTGTGGGGCGTTGGAAAGGTGAATGGACTCACAGTAACAGACGACTGTACTGTACAGTGCTGCGCAGTAGTCGGCGACATGTCGTGATGATCGGGTGCGCCGACTACACGCGCCAGGTACGAGTTTTCACATGAGAATGATGGTGGTCAATTGGAAGCCCAATTCAGTTATTTTGATGTGACTAGAATTGCCGTGGATTGATTTTTTGACCATTGCTCTTTGACCGAAGGACAGAGTGAATGGCAGAGCGAGCGAAAGACTGAGGGTTGCAATGTCGTTTGAATTGACCTTGTTTGCAGCTTTTGATTTGGTATTACTAAAATCAACGCCATCACGAATGCGCTGCGGGCAGATGGCTCAAATCTCTGCCGTGGAACTTACAGTCTGCCAGAGATCCGTTCTTTCCGTAGACAGCCTCGATCTGACAGAGTAGCACCCAAAGTCCTTTAATGTGATAATGAAACTCAAATTCAAGTTCAAAGTTCTTTCTAGTTCAAAGTTGCCATGTCTTAGACATGCAAATTTTGTGCAAACGTGAACAAAACTGCATAGAGCGCAGTTTTGGGTTGCGTGGACGGAGAACTAAGGAGATGTCCTTACTTTTCCATCCACGCAACAGAAATGTCATGACATCTATATCAAGAAAATTTGCTACATATTATTAACTCCATATTTTGGGTAATATATCCTCTGAAGCAATACTTCAGTTAAGCGCATTATCGTGTATCTTTCGTCATATATCCAAGTGTCTGAAAGGCTGCTGTTGCCTGCTGGCTGCCTTTTCAATCTCCGAGGTACAACATTTCAGAAAGATAGCTGTGTTCAAATTAAACAAGTATTCTAACTTGTTGAGAGCCATATTTAAGCAGAATTTTATTTGAAAAGCTTAGCATTTCGAATTTCAGGTCCATTTGACCTCTCTTTTATATTGGCACTTCCGTGCATCGATTCTTTTGTACACTATGCCCACATGTTTCAAACTTGTGTCACGCTAGGCGCCTTAGTACATCTAAAATGCTGGATCTTTTTGATTCCCGGGCGAAGGCAGTTTTCCTCGATTACAGTATTGTAATTCAATAAATGGCATGAATGAATTAATTATATTAATGAACTGACGAAGGCAGGCAGGGTCGAGGGGTGGCGATCCCTGAATGGGAATTGTACGCTCGAGTCCACGGCAACGGTTTACAGCCGAGACAAAAGGACAACAAGCGTTCTGCCTTTTATATTCAGTTCGTTCATCAACATCCTTAATGTAATTCCTAATGCTTCGTCATCTTTTCATGCATTCAGTCATTAATGACACTCAATCAGTTCCAGCTGTAACAGAACGAGTTGCGCACACCTGACATGGCCCAACGGAGTTTGCATGGCATGTAATCCTGTTTGCACGGACATTGGATGGAGCAGAATCAAAACCGGCCCGTTCCCACCTTCTCGCAGCAACCCTGGGGGTGCTCCGCCGTACAGGTCAGGAGAGCGTCGCTCAGGACGGTCATGTTGACTTCCGCTGTCCGATTTATGCAAGTCATCTCGTCGGTCATCCCATACATTGCATCTTCGCCCTGCAGCTGCTGGAGACCCGCGTGCAGGCCTGCGCACGGAAGCCTCAGTCAAACCAAATTAAGCGATTGAAGGAAAACGTAGAACCGAATTTTTATAACCCAGTAGCTGATAGGTGACAATGAAACATGTCAATGCAGCTATGAAGTTATATATAACATGGCGGTATGTTGCACCAGACGGCTGCAAGCTGCATGCATGCAGTGTGTGGACATTGAATGCGGATCTTAAATGATATGATGTGCAGCAATTTATCTCCCAGTGGAAAAACTTCTGAACAGCTTAGAGAAGGACATTTGTTAATTTTGTGCCTCAGTGGTTTTAATCCACCGATGATCAGAGCCGCTAATTGGCGAGCAGGAACGTTTGGTTCCTCAACTTGGGCCAGATTCGAACATCTCGCCATCTGAGAATGACGCCAGCCTTCAGCCGACCTGAAGAACAAGAAATATATTTTTGCGTCTCTGTATATAAACCAGTACAAATTTTCAGTCAACAACATGTGTTTCACTTGTAGCTCACGAGTTTCCGTTGGAAAATATCACCTCTCATCGCATTAGTAAAGCAACAACGGAAATCTGGTCGCAGCCAGTCGGCGATCGCTGATCAACGGAAACTGCGCAGGGATAACTCTTCGGTGTCTGCGGAACACTTTCGAGATAATCTTTGCCTTTATATTACTTCCCCATTCCGAATAGTCCCTCTTTTTCATATCCCAGGGCCCATCTGCTGGAGACCACGAAACAAACATGAAAAGCAGAGCATACCAGATACGCCGACTGCATAGCACCCACGCATATTGTTTTATTTCTCTCACCCTTTCCTGTGCCGCCCAGCCCATCGTTTGCAGCCGAGGCGCCGCAACTGCACGCAGCAGTCAGCAGCAACGCTGCCGCCACGAAGGCGGCGCCAGGGTGGAGTCGACCCTCGGGCCTTTGCATCTCCCGCAGCTGCAAGGAAGAACATAAAGTAATCCTCATTATTTCTAAACATTTGACACATGACGAACAAAAGCCCCTTGCAAAGTGGCAAAGTCGGGCAATGGACCCAAGCGCATGCTTTGCTCGAATCCACGGTGTTTGTCGGAAAACACATCTGGAGTCAATTTGCGACAAGCGTCGCGTCCAAGGGATCGCCACTCTCCAGGCGTCCATTTTGCAGATTCGAGACATTATCAAGGCATCGAATATCGGACCTCGAGTACCGGTGCTCTAGTCACTTGATATCGCGATACAGGCCCAGGGCATGCGCCGGCGCGAGCGCATCAAGCCAGTCCACGTGCCACACCCATTAAATCATTAACGCGGCGTGCTATACACGCAATTACGTAAATGTAGCGCAACGTTTCGGCCCAATTGTCGTCAGAGGCCGCGTCCATACGGCCATCGGGATGGCGCAGCCATCGTGTTTCGCTTTCATTTGAAAAAAAGAGCGGGTGACGCATCACCCGGGAGTTCAGCGTCCGTTCGGGAGAGCGCAGGTGCGCGTGGAGGA